ATGACAGCACAGTCACTTCCAGAGACAGATCTGAAAGTGCATGTCATTACTCAGAAGAGCACTGTCCAGGATCTCCTCAGCATCCAACATCTCCACAACACAAGTAATAAGCTCTGTTTTGTTTATAAGCCAAGAGAAAACCAAATCTTTTCCTGGAAAGCCAGTGCTTTCAAGCAGTTGATCTCAAACTCCAATTAAACACTTTTTGAACCAGCTAATCAAGGTCTTCAGACTCACTTGAAACTTGTTTGCAAGTTGTGTCTTGGCTACAATCTGCAGTACATTGGCCTTCCAGGATCAGTATTGTACTTGGCTGTCTTCAACCACATTTTTAAGTCCACTGTACCTGATTTTGGCAAATGGTGTAGCATTTGCTTTTGTTTATTAGTCATTGTTTGGCCTATATTGTAATTTTATTTGTCTTGGCAGCACGTCGTCTGGTTTTGGAGTCCAAATGTTTCAGAGTCCGGTGTTGGGAGAGAGTGCAAGCATGTATTATCAATCTCAGTCACAAAGCAAAGATCTGTCTGAAAATAGAGAAATTGATGACCCAAGGTTTTACCACGAGCTCTTGGTATGGTCCATCTACTATATTTTTTTTAGTTGTAAAATTCGTAAAATACAAGTATTTTAAAACCAACCTAACAATTTAATTCCTGCTTCAGGGTCAGGTGCAAAGCCGTCTGCAAGACTCTGTGATTGTGGAGGATAAGGTAGAGCAGGACCAACAGAGTCTCCTGAAAACACAAAGTCTGTCCCCTGTTGTCCATCAGTCAAGGAAACCACTGACAACTTCTTCCATACCCCAGACTCAAAAAACAAAGCAGCCATCTAGTCCACCTAATCAGGATCGTGTCTTAAGTGCAACATTAAAACAGCTACAACAGTTTGGGGTGAACATCGACTTAGACTCTTCTCAGGAAAAAACGACACGTGCCACTGTGGAGAGTGCCAGGTAAACACACAAACACTGTATTGCTTTTATCAGTGCATTTTAAAGTGTTAATTCCTGCAAAAGTGAAAATTATGTTATTACAGGGTGTCCGCATGTTCTTAGGATGCTTTCACACCTAGAACTTTTTCGGAACCTGTCTCGTTTGCCCAGTTAGTGAGTTTTGTTTGGCATATGTGAATCCAGCAATCGCGCTCGGATCCACGCCAAAACAATCGCTCCATGGTCGCCTGATTGAGGTGGTCTCGGCTCAATTGAAACAAACTCTGGAACGGATAGATTGTAGTGAGAAAGCGATACGATTCGAGTCCGGTTATATCACAGTATATTATGGATATGTAATAGGCATACGGCTATATGAAGAGAGCGTGATGAGTAGGGCGGAATGTCATTCCTACCGTTAATTGTGCATTTCGTGTAAAATACGAAAGTGAAAGCATGCTGAACTATTAACGAGAGCTGTTTATCCGTTAGGAAAATTGACCGAAGTGCAGTAGTTAATCTGCTATTGCTCTCTATAATGTAGAGCCTATAATGTATAAGCCAACTGCTGTGAATGAGAAAGTCTTACCTCTGCTCTATATTTATTGACTACATGTGAGGGTGTCACCATTCAAAATTAAAGCGCAGATATAAAGTAAGGACGCATGACGCAATAAATGTGAAACTCTGACCAATGTGAGGAGAGTTTACTTGCACGTGACTTGTTTTAGCTATTTTGGTCCGTTTAGAAACTTTGCCGTGTGAAAGCGAACTACACCAAGAACAAAGTGCAACAATGTAACAATTTTAATCCCTGTTTCGGAACAAATGAATCCATTCACAGGTGTGACAGCACCCTCAAAGTATTAAGTTGATAAACCAATTATAAAAAAAAAGTAAGGGCCCTGAAATGGTATTAAAGTCATAATCGTGATTTGTGAGGTCTTAAATTTTGTGTTTGACCCCAAAAAAAGCATAAATATATATTTATTTTCCCCCTAATATTAACAACTGCGTGCCCGATCCATGCGATTTGGTTCGGGCCAGGGCACATCTGGCCAAGCTCCTCCACCCAGGTGATGTCATGTTATTTGTGACAAACACGAGAAGCTAATGTGACGCTCTCCATATGTAGCAAAACAGACTGCAAAATGGGAAAATGTAAGTTTGCACACTCCTGGTTGGTGAATGACAATTTTTAACAGTGGATGAAGCCTGTTGCTGAAAACAACCACGTAATTTATTCTTTCAAGCTTTGGTTTTTTCGAGCTTGTCTGAGTTCTGTTGCAAGGTTGTGCTTCATTTATTTATTTAACTACAACTGTTTATTAACAACTGTTTATTAAGTTAAAGGTTTAATACTGATTAGAACTTGAAGTTGCGATGAGGTCTTAAATAATTGTTAAAATTACCTTTAGGATTCCTGCATGTACCCTGTATTAATTATTTACTCTCATGGCATTCCAAACCCCTAAGACCTTTGTCTGGAACACAAATTAAAATATTTTAGATGAAATCTGAGAACTCTCTCAACCTTTATAGACCGCAAGCTTCATGAAAAATGGCAGAAAACATTCTTATACATACTTTATGCCTTCAGTGGTTAAATTTGAATATTATCAGGCTATGAGAATACTTTTGTGTGCACAAACATAACAGTTTCTTCTTCTCTGTGTCAGTATAGGGCAAGCATTCATGCACCGTGCTTTGTTTAGCCTCTGACATATAACCTTGGATATGCCTGTGCTTTTTCAAACTGAGGAAGTTGCTTGCAGACATCTGGGGTATACATCAGTGCACAGTGCTCGTGAAAATGCACAATATACTGACACTGAGGAGAAGAAACTTGAATGAAGTTGTTATTTTTGTTCCATGTCCGCACACAAATATATGGTCTGTTTTGAGGATGGTATCTTTTGGAACCTTGTTGTCAATGGAGAAAGTTGTGAATTTCTTAATTTGTGTTTTGAAGATGAGCAAATGTCTCGGGGGTTTTTAACGACATAGGAGTGACTAAAAACATTTCTATTTTTTAATGAACTAAGGGTTCGTTTCTAATGCAGTTTCTTTTCCCTTCAGTACCCTTGCCTGCATAAACCCTGAAGCAGTGATTCCAAGACTAGCTCTTTCTGAACCAGTGGGTGCCAGCATTTGGGGGCCAAGTGGCAGCGTAGACCTTAGTCTTGAGGCCAATGCCATTGCACTTAAGTACCTAAGCGACTCACAACTTTCAAGACTCTCACTGGGCAGTCAGTCCTCTAGCCCACATTCAGACCCCAGCACAATTCTCCTGAGAAGACCGGCTGTGGAAAAGAGCAATGTTGCACTCAGTATCCTGTCCCCCAGCAATATGTCCCTAGCTACCTGTAAATACATGAAGAAATATGGACTGATTGAAGGAGAAATCAGCAGTGAGGAAGAGCAGGAGGACCCCATCCAGGTAGATTCTGCTCTTGGATGTTCAGTACAACATGAAACATCTAAAACAATCAGCCTTGGGCAAGAACGTGAAGAACAAAACACAGCCGTTCTAAAAAACATAACAAACAAGCCGGTTGTCAATCTCCATACATCTCCCATTGACTCTCAAGAGCAGATACTACAAGACTTGAGGCCTAAAATGCAGCTGCTTTTGCGTGGCGGGACAAACTCAGAGAAGGAGAATGCCACAAAGAGAAATCTGATTGAACGCAGGTCCTCGCTTACTGAAAACCAGAGAACACAGGAAGTTGTGGACCCTCAGGGGTCAGTGGGAAATTTCCTAGATCTGAGTAGGTTACGGCAGCTCCCCAAGCTCTTTTAAAGTGCATCATGGGTGTTTTCCTAATCGGGCTGCTTCTGTGCATCAGAGGGGTTTGAGGGATTAATGCAATCCTCAAATGTTTGTTTACATGGCATACCATGAATGAATTTTATTTTTAAGTGCGCTTTTCATTTAAAGCTTTTAAGTATGTTTTAATGTCTTTAACTTTGTCTTGTTTTGTCTAACCCAAAGGGAAAGTTTGCCCACAAATTAAAATTTACCCTCTTTTTATTCCTCTTTCAAAGGTTTTAAACCCTTTTAAGTTTTTTTTATTCTGTTGAACACAAAAGATGATACTTGGAAGAAATCTGAAAATCTGTCATTGACTTCCATAGTATTTGTTTTTCTTACTATGGTACTAAATGTTTACAGGTTTTCCTTTTTCTTCAAAATCATCTTTCGTTTGTTTTTCATATTGTGTGCTCCACTAAAGACAAAAAAAACTAAAAAGTTTAAAACTTTTAGTTATTGTGTGAACTATCCCTTTAACAGGTGCTATTTCCTTTTATGTGGAAATATTTGTCTTCACCTGATGACTCCTTATGTGTCAATAACTAAGTGCCTTGTATGAAGTGATTCACTTAAGGCAGTATTGTGGTTTTGTACTATATTTAAACACACTTGTGTTTTGGCATTACTTGATGTTTCTGAAATTGGTGCAAACATTTCTACGTTTTTTAATGACTTCATGTACATGTATCTGTCTTATAATTAAATTACATATTCTTTTACATAACTTTTTAGCGAGTTTTTCCCTTCACTGTCCTTCACAATCTTGAAATATCTCAGATATGTCAGCTATAATTAGCAGGTAAATATGTCACTTGGCAAACACGCCTTGTGACAAAGCTTTATACATTTACGTAAAAGGTATCAAGGAATCATAATTGAGGTAAGCTATAAGTTTACCACCTAGAAACCGCATGCCAATGCAGTAAACACCACATGGAGTGGCTTGGCAACCACAATGGCTAATGCTCTTGTGGTCACTTTTGCATCCACTACTATAATTTAGTTTAAAAATATATATTTGTAGCTATGCATGTAGATAAAATGTTTAGACAACACACCCCTCCTCTCCAAAGTTTCCTTTTTTTCACTAAATATTTAAAAATGCAAATTAAAGACAAATTTCGTTTCAAAACCTTTATATGCTTGTTGGCCGTTGTTCAGTTAAAATAACTAGTCCTCTCCAGTGTTGTCTTGGTAGGTTTCGAGATTTGTAAATCTATTAAGGACACTATCATGATATGTGGATGATCTCCGGTTGCGCAATAGTGGACTTCTTTCACTCGAGCTCTGAGACTGAAGTCAGTCAGTCCAAAGAAACTTTCGTTACAGCAGCAGGCGATGCTCGCCCTTCTTCTGTGAAGATTGAGCTGAACCAAATAATGTGAGTACACCATTTACTGCTTAAGTTACATAATGTACGGTTTTTGCCCCTTTGGGGTCTGTTTTTATATAAATACATTTTATAAATGATGAACAATGAGAATGATCATTAGCTTAGGAATGTCACGGAATAGCTTGAATCACATTAAAAAACACAAAAACTGACATTTCTGCAGGAATTATTTGTAAAAACCGACTAAAGTACGTAAACTATAACAAATGAGCTTTGTAAGCGTTACCTAAGATGCACCAACCGGCGTAGCATAAATGCTAACTCTCACGAGCGCATTATTTTATACAAATATACTTTATTTTCGGTTAGTCTTACGTTTGTAGTCATTTAAAACGATGTGGTTAACTAAATATTGTAACAAACGCCAAGGAATTCACGATACGATCGTTTTAACTTCAGAAATAAGCCGAACGCTACGAGCTTTGTTTTGTTAGCACACCGGCTAACCTAGCTGTTTAATATTCAAATTTCAGATCGGTTCAAACGGCCAAAAATGAGCATTTAAATCATCCTAAATTTTAAACAGCAGTATTTGCGCGTAGAAAACATCTCACGCTGATGGGTATGTATTAGAAATGTGTATTTTCTTATGTATTAGTTTGTGTATTTGAATTGGCAGTTCGTTAACCAGTTAGCATACTAGCATAACATAATGACAAACTAAGGTTTTAAATAAGTGTTTTTGTTATAATTGAGTGTCATTTTGCTATAAGAATGAACTGGTATGAAATAATGTGTGTATATTTGGGTTTTAAGTGACCATTTAGTTACATTTCAGATAGATCCAGTTTTAGTCAAAAGGCTTTGTCTCTCTTTCCTGTCCTGAAGGCTTAGTTGTTGTGCAAAATATTACACACAAATCACGTTTTCTCAAGAAGTCTTTGACAAACAGTTTTTTCTGAGATTCAGTTAATAATAATTTATTTCCCCAATTTAATTTGGCAGCGAAATCACACTCGATTGTGGTGATCACACGTGCTTATTGTTTCTTTTTGGCACAGAAATCAAATAGGATGTGGTTTTAGATAGTTAATGTTAAATCACTTTCAGTTGTTTAATTACACTCCTGTTAATCAAGTTATGTTTTAAAGATTAGTTAACCTGCTATAGGGAGTTTCCAGTTGACAAGAACAAGACATAAGTCTCAACAAGCTTTGAACTGAGGTGATTTTTTTTCCATGACTGCACTGGCATCTGCACATATTCCTCGTTTTGAATAACATAAGTGAGTGTCTGACATGTTAATGAGCTTCTCATGCATATTAAATACATATTCTTTTAAGTTTGTCTCATCAAGTTGACAAGCAGGTATTCGAGTCATGATTACACTGCAGTTTCTGCATCAGTTCCTTGTATGAAGACAATAGTCATTTCAGTTTTATATATATTATGTACACATGTATAAATATTAAAGAACAGATTAAATGTAGAAGAATTTAAACATGTTTATTATATATATATATATATATATATATATATATATATATATATATATTTGTTAATATTTTAAATATATGTAACGTAAAAAGTGTTTGCATTTCTGTATAAAACCTACTTGACACTTTTATAACTAAATAAGCCTTAGTTAAACAAAATATAAAAATATATAATGTTTATATATATATATATATATATATATATATATATATATATATATATATATATATATATATATATATATATATTATAACTAATATATTCCCAATTTATGTACTATATACATTTAGTTTACATATATATGTATGTCTATATGCATGTATACACATTTCTAGATATAATATTTGCATTAATTAATAAATATATTTAATATAACATTTACAAGAAAGCACTATTTATATAAACTGTGTATTTCTACATAATAAATAAAACATTTTATAAATAAATCAACATCCACATTTAGTAACCCCACGCTACAGAGGTTCCCCTTTTGTTTCTCGCCCACCAAACTTAATTATAGTTACTGGGAAATCCTGGTACAATTGTATTTGTAACCGAAAGAAAATGAGTGGGCGTGCCAGGGTAAAACGGTGCTTTTGATGGCTGACAAAAGGAAGTACCTTAGTCGCGTGGATGGCTGCTCAAGATAACAGCATGTTAAAAATATACATGCACTTGTTAGGTACGTAAGATGTTGTTTTATAGATTACTTTATTTATATATATATATATACATATATATATATATATATATAGGGATATAGGGGCTGTGGGATTTGGAAAAAAATAAAAAATTTTGACACATATTGCAATTTGATTTGCCATTTTAACTTTGTAGTCAAGCTTCAGCTCAATATTCTGTAATCCGTAGCAACATTTTTGTGACAGCTCTTTAAAATTACCTGTTTTTGTGTGGACTCTGTTACTTTAAAACCCAAAATATTCCAATATTACCAATGTCCTGTTTTTTTTATATATATATATATATATATATATATATATTAATTTGACTATTAATGCTTCTGAAGCAGCAGACGCCAGTATCCCAATTGTCCGTGCTTTCCTGTTTTTTTCATAAATTTTTTTTATTGTGGGTGTTCCACATAGTTCAATTGTGCAATTCTGATTGGGTGCTCACTCAATTGGCTATTAAGACTATCACAAACAGACTGCAGTCATGCATTTGCCATAGCCAGGGGAAATTAAATAATACATACATATTTCATATTACAGCATCTTGCAATTTAGCTAATGGAAATGTTTCAAATTGTGATTCGATTTCGATTAATCTTATATATAAAAATGTTTTATATTTTGTTATATTTATTTCACAGAGTATTTAATGCAAAGAATTTTTAAACTATTTAAATATCATCTTTAAGCAAATACATCTACAAGATATAGGAAAATAGGTGGTGTAATCCTCAGAACAATAAATGCAGGGTTGTTATGTAATCCAGTTATGTTGTAATTTTACTATTGAGGTTCTGTGACTGTTGTATGGTTGCTGTATGGTAAAAAGTATAAGGCTAATATCTGATTTAAATTTAAAAAAATGAAGTAAATTATTAATCTGATATTTTGGGTGGTTTTTTGTGCATTTGGGCGGGTTTTGGACAGCTTTAGGGCTGGAAAAAGTCAGCTATATCTGGCAGCACTGGCTGTTTTCTCTATATGTGAAAGTAAATGAAGGTTTTATTCATATCTGTAAGTTTTTTTTTTTTATATAGGGGGAAATCATCATCCATAGATTTGCTTGATTATATGCCACTTTTCTGGAAAAATAGATTTTACACTCTTTTTTTCCCCTGCATATTCATAAGGAAGCAGATGATTGATAGTATCTCGTCACTTTATTCTCATTTTCCCGAATGTCATCGCAGCATGAACTCATCTCCGTGTGATAGAAACCGTGATCTTTGTCATGAAACATGTTCCTGTTCCCTATAGGTTTGAATTCCTGCCTTCGTGCACCTAATACACTTTCTGATGAGTCACAGCACAGGAAAAACAACCCTGATTTACACTTTAACGCTTCCTTGTTAAGTCTCCCTTTGGATCGGGTGAAGACTGGCCACTTTACTCATTATTAGTCACTTAAAAATCCCCTGGCTTTTGTGTTGTTTTGCTTATATAGTGGCTATATTAGGCAGCCTTAAGGTATGGCATGCAGACTAAGCTGTAATAAATGATGAGTCAGGTTATTGCTGCTGTTCTGGACTTCCCAGGACTCAATGTTTTCCTCAGCTCATGTTGTCAGGCTGAAGCCAGAAGGTTTGAAAGCGATGTTAGCCTAAATATCCTGTCTGGTTGGATGTTCTTTGATGTTTAAATGAACCTGCTGTTCTCGGGTCGGTGATAAAGAATGGCTGAGATGACGAAAAGGAAAGAATCTGACTTGAGTCATTTGTTGTTGTTTTTTGCTGTAGTACTTGTTACTTTCAGTTTGATTTTGTGTGGTTGTCCAAGAGAAGAATCAATTAAATGAAAAGCATGTTAGTAGACCTTTATGAACTTCTCATCAGATTAGTTGTTGTTTTTAAATGGAATATTTTGGTTTTCTGACGCTTTTAATTTTTTAGGAAATGAGCAGAAGTGGAATAAAAAAAATATTTCTAAATGAATCATTTAAAATTGATGGTGTTATTCTGATTCAGCTCGTCACACTTGCATGAAGTATATTTGCAGTTTGTTCTGTGGATTTAACTTAATAGCTTTTGAGTTTTTCGTTATTTTATTTTTTACATTATTATTACTGTTTTAGTATTTCTATGTCATTTATTTTGAAAGAAAGGTGCATTACTTTTGAGGAATATTTGGTTATATTCTAGTCATTAACATGTTATTTTATCCTGTTATTAATTTTGTTAGTACAACTGCTTTGTATTCAAAATAGTTTTGCATCAATAGTAGGGCTGCACGAATCTGGCTAAAATGAGAATGATGTTTTTTTGCTTAAATAAATAACGATTTTCTGATGATTCTGTAAAATAAAGCTTAATATGAGGCTACTATTATTGTTATTTCTCTAATAAACATTAAAACAACACAAATAATATTTGGCCTATAGGTTGCTACATTTTTAGTAGACCTGGAATGCTGGGTTTGAGTAGACTTTAAATTTGTCCTGGTTGTTAATTCACAGTTGAGTGATGACATCAGAATGCAACTATTCATAATTCTGAAGTTAAATTATTATGTTTGAGACATTCTTGTCATTTGTCATTTGCAACATTAGTAGACCATTTTTTTTACTGATAAAATGAGACATTTGTCATTATCAGCATCAACTCTTGCATTATATTGAATATTATATAGGCTAGAGTAGTTATACTGACACTTAACATTTACTTTCATGCACAACCCTTGTGTTCAGTATGAAAGAAAAACATCAAATGCTTGACGTAATCATAACTCTAAAACGGGATATGATTGTTTAAATGATGTGCGCACTTTTCAGTTTCACTTTTCACTGCCGAGTGCAAATCATGTCATAGCCGCTGTTATTTTGAATTCAGTTTGCAACAAACTGAACGTTATTTACAACTTTGTTAGATGTTATTCAAAGCCTATGCTGGTTCTGTTCACTCAAGTAGACATCATTGGTGGGCATGCACGTGTCCTCTCGGTAGTAAACAGTGCGTCAGGTCACGTGTGATTTCGCTGCCGCGAATACGTCATAACATTATGACAGAAATGACATTTAAGGTTGAATTATACCTTATAAGGAGGCCCACACAGAATCTGCGCGCGCAGAATTCCGCAGATTTTCCACAGAATTCCGCCGATTTTTGCAGATTTTTTAGCCCATCATTAATTCTGTTTATTTACTTGAGTAAATGTGTATTTATTCATTACACAAATTATTCTGAATTTATTCAGTTTTTATTCAGTAATTTATTACTTTTTATATCATATATTAAGGTTTTAGTTATGATACTCCACTGGATACTCCAAAAATAATTTTGCATAAATCCGCAGATTTTAACCAAAATTCTCTGCAGAAATATCAAAAAACGTCCGCAGATTCCGTCTGGCCCTGCTTATAAGTAGAGTATTTGTCACTTTTAACATCATTTGGAGGTATCCTTGTTGCTGAGCTATGTATATCTAACAATGTGAAGCCTTTGTGCTTCTCCCGAACTTGAAAATATAATTGACTGAATCGTAGAGATGCTGGATAAGGATCGTGTGGAGGGTCGAATCGAGATTGCGATCTCTTTTCGATTAGTCATGCAGCCCTAATAAATAGCTTAATCCTTTTTTGCTGTTGTTTTGATTGCCTTTAACAACAGACAGCAGTATAAAAATATGTTATGAGCTTTCATTTATTCATTAATTTTCCTTCAGCTTAGTGTCTTATTCAGAGGTCGCCACTGCGGAATGAACTACCAACTATTCCAGCATATGTTTTATGCAGTGGATGACCTTCCAGCCTCAACCCAGTACGAGGAAACACCCATGCACATACTCATACACTACGGCCGTTTTAGTTTATTCAATTCACCTATACCGTACTGTGGGGGACTTGAAGGAAACCCACATGAACACAGGGAGAACATGGAAACTCCACACAGAAATGCCAACTGGTCCAGCTGAGACTCGAACCCGTGACCTTCTTGGTGTGAGGTGACAGTGCTAACCACTGAGCACCTGTTCCTTCTTTATGAGCCTTGTGAACCTCAAAAAAAATGCAACAATTATTATAACGCATTGTATTCGGTGATCACAGAATCATCAAAAACGAAAGTAAAACATTGATGTTATTTCTAACATTTGTTGGTTTTTGTTTTTCAGGTTATGTTTTTCACACTATGTGCTGAACGCCCACAATGCCAGGAAATATTTAAGAACCGTTATCTTTGGAAGAGCTTTATCGGTTCCAGTGGAACCTTTAGGACTTACCGCCGTATCGTTTTACGCAAAACGCACATAGACACCAATGCAGCAATAAGAGAAGACCTTGGGGACCGGAGCATCACAGACCGCGCTTCGCTACAATGCCCGTTCAAGCTCCGCAATGGACAGAGTTTCTGTTGTGTCCCATCTGCACGCAAACCTTCGAGGAAAACCACCGCAAACCCATCAGCCTGGGCTGCGGACACACTGTCTGCAAAATGTGCCTGAACAAACTCCACCGCAAAGCCTGTCCGTTCGACCAGACCACCATCAGCACAGACATCGAGCAACTGCCCGTCAACACTGCGCTGCTGCAGCTCGTCAGTGGACAGGTGAGGCCAAAAGACCCTTATTATACTTACGACAGCTCTGATTTACTCTTCTTTAATACTTGTTCGCTTTAATGCCGGTCACACCAAACATGAAATTAAGAATTTGCAAGAGTAAATTGCAAACAAAGACAATGCAAATATGCGAATAGTACTGAATTATTATTGTGCAAATGACGGAACATATACAACACACCTGCCGTGAGTGCTCAATCATGTCTACCGCTTAAGTTTGAATAATTAAACTCACGCAAAACATTTGCAAGATGTTTGCAAAAACATTCTATGAGTAAACTAGAACAAGTGTCTGGTGGGAACTCAGTATTAGGGGCAAAGAGAAGTTGTAAATACCTGAGTAACAGAACAATAGCTGCATTTCTGCTACCCTTTAAATTGCGAATTTGCCTTACGCAAAATTGAAGAAACGCCTATGTATCACACTAAACAAATCTCACTTGCTTAAGCTTCTTTTCTTATAATTTGAAAACAATATTTAATGCTCCAATGGGAATCAGTTTTTGTATTTCTAGATCACCCGACATATATAGAAGTCATATAATTATTAACGTAGATCAATGTGTTTGGATATGAGCTTAGACGAAGTTCTGTATTAAGCTAATAAAAAAAAATCATTTTCGATTCTAGATGAGCAATTTCCTCAATTTATAAAGACCTTGAAACAGAATGATGCACTATATCCCCCAGAAAACAGCATATGTCACCATTCACAAGTATATACTTCTGCGTTGAGTGATCGGCTTGACCCATGGCGCCTGCCATTCACGTACGTGTGTATTTAAACTTCTGTGCGCTGTCTGTGTTGCTCTGCAATAACGTTTCCGAAACGCTAGATGGAAGTAGGTTATGTTATGCTCCTCTGTGATGTTTCTTTGCATGTGTTTTGTATTTTATGAACGCTACCTTAATGTACAAGTAGCTATTAATATTTTGGTAATAGCAATAAAAGCAATGACTGGAGTTATAATTTCATTTGAAATTACATACAATAAGAAAGCAGTTGTTTAAAATTTTTATAAATATTTAACAATTTAACTTTTTTTTTTTTTACTTTATTGATGCCCCCTTAATAAACAGAATTATTTTCTTTAAAAAAAAAAACATGGAGAAAAAAAAACTTTGGACCGGTAGCGTAAACTTTACCTGTGAAAATTAAACTTCTGCACCTTAAAAGTGTGGCCCCAAAACTTACGAATTTGCATGAATAATTTTTGCATTAATATTTTTGCTCTTGATTAAAATGTTTTGAATTTTGCCTACAAAAATGTGCACAAACGATAACTGTGAGGGGAAATTCATCGCAAAACTCCTGGTTGAAATGACCAGATTTTGCGTGAGGAAATTCACCAATCAACAGTAAACACGACCACACCATTATGCAAAGCTCGACATTAAAACCCAACAATTAATGAATTTGCATACATAACATTAACATAAACATAAAGGAAATGTGCAAGGGAAACTTTATGCAAAACACCCAATCATGCTGATTTACTAACTCACGCCTGCAAACATATGTAGAACAGAGTAATGCACCTTTACGTGCACTGCTGCTACGTGCAAGCTCAGTCAACTTGGTTCACTCTGTACTGGACGTGTTTATTTTTATCGACTTTGTTTTCCTTGTAGAGATAAAGTCAAAGCTCCCACCCTCGCCTAAATCTAAACTGTTGAACAGAGAGGACGAGGAAGTAAAACTGCAGTGGTTCCTTGTCAGTCTAACAATGATCCTTTTTACTTTCCAAATCACCTTGATAACAATCAAAACATGAGGCAGAGCACCAAATATCCAGACTGCACTTCTCATGCACACAGTATATCACTTGTACACTAGGCAAAGTGCATTTATCAATGTTTACCACATCATTTATGAATCAAACGGACGAGCTGAACATCTCAAGTTCAACATGGATAGGAGGAGCTCAGGTTTCTAAAGAACAGCTTGCGGACGTTCCAGTCTGGTTGGATTTCAGCCCTGATGTGACATACCGAAGCGTGTGATTGCATGACAGGAGGCAGTAAAACGCATCGCTTTCTCGCACATTTACAGCCAACAGAGAACCAGGAAGTTGAATCAACGTCTGCTAGCCATTCCCAGCGCTGTCTGTGAAAGTACTTCTCCATTCTGCTCGCTTTATGATGAGTATGACTGTCGCAACTGTTTCATAATCATCTGGCCGGGATTATTTTAGATTTCCACAGTCATCGTTGAGCATCGCATTCAAACAAGGAAATTTGAGCACACACTAAAATGTCACTTTCACACTTGCATAACTGTAGATATTTTGAGCCTTTGAATGATGTAGATGACACGCTGCAAATTCGAAATTAGCAACTTGTTTAAAAGCAAACTTAAACTGGAAATGTCTACATTGAAATGAGGAATTGCCAGAGATTTTTATATTTATACTTGAGGTTAGATGGGTTCTAAAAATGGCAGTGTTGTTTGATAGGCTTACATGATAACTCTTTAAGCTTTTAAGATCTATTTTGGTCATTAATTAGCATTTTCTGGCCCCATAATTGTCTACTTTTGAAAACCAGGTTGAATTGGACGTGTTTAACGCCATACCATTTAGGGATGCTCCGTTTGATTGGCCAGAGATAGGCTGATAATCCCATTTCATGACTTGATCGGTACTTGTCAATCTGGCCAATTTTATGAACCAGTAGCAATTCTTTGTTTACGCTCTTTGACTTTTGGTAAGTTACGGCTCTCTCCCTTTGTTCAGCTGCACGGCAATAGGAAGTTACTTTAAGCAGCCTGGGGTTACAATATTCTGCCTTTGTTTTACTGTCATACTATCATAAATAGGCTAGCAATCTGCTAAATATAAAGCACTGCAAACAAGCAAAGGCTATAAATTGTGAGCGAAAATATCTTTGCATGATCGCACATAAAATCAGTAGAGTTCGCAGTTACAACCGTTTCCTACCTTTTCTAGTTACTCTGTAAACTCCACTGCAATTAATGTCGACAGAGATGTTTAATCCACAAGAATACTGATCATTATTCCAACCTGCTGTGTTCATATCGCTCCTGTGGTTCTTTAGGCTAGACTGGATTATTTTTGTGAATTTTTTTTTGTGTTTTTATTTTTTAATGAATTGTGAGTCGATTTATTGACATAAATAGAACCGTTGCTTTGTTACTGAATAAATGTCTTAAGACAGTGCCTTACCACCACTTACTGGCGGTTTTAGCTAATACATGGATAACTTAATTTTTGCTGTAGTTGTGTATTTATATTTTTATTTGAAACATTATTCATTAAAAAAAATAATTCTTAAAGGAATTCAACTGAATTTTTTATATAAATTGCAAATATTGTGACTTAATCGGACAAGTGACTGCAGTTTAAGAGGAAGAGAGAATGCAAAAAGACATTAAAGGAGTAAGCCACTCTAAGAAAAAGTTTAGGAATCGCTGATATACTGTCTAGTAACTACGTCATACCTATGATATTGAAAATTAACTCAAAATCAATGCAACAGTAGTGTAATATATTACAATACAAAGACTAAAATATCGTAATGCTGATAAATTTACAGAAAATTACAGAAACAAATTGTATATTATCTATTACATTTTGGTTGTAATTTACAAATGCAACTGAAGCACAGGATAGCAATAAGTAAATGGCTGTAAGTAACTGCTAATCATCCTAAATAAATAGCATAATTACTAGACACTACAGGTGTTGCTGTTTTTTTTTTTGTAATTGTTGTGCAGCAATATTGATCATGTGGACGTTATTGCTTTTTGTTTTGGCATAACTTTTCACTTTTTGGATACAATACTTAAGCAGAGGACAGTAAATTCAAAAAAAGGGTCAACGGTCAAGTTTGAGCTCAATATTTTTTTATTATTGACCTATCTAGAACTAATTTGTCTGGGCAACAACAAAAATCTTTTAAGTAATTTTGATTAATTCAACACTAGCGAGTTAAGGTCTTTTGCCTTTGTAGGGCATCCTTGGTGCAAATCGGGTGAGTGATACATCCAACTGTATGGCTTCTCCCGGAAGCTGTCCGGAGCTGCGATCATAGAACTGCTATCAAGAGTTGGAGATGAGCAAATATTTTAATGGCCTTGTCTGTATTTAGGTCTTTTTACATACAAGAACAGAAAGTTCTGTTTTTTCAAATTAATCCTACACTACAAACTTGTATAAATTGCTTTGTTAGTCTTTTTTTTTATTTTTATTATTATTAATTATTATTATTTTTTTTACATTTTATCTTTTATTTTCTGTAAATCTGCATCTGACCATCACAAGTCCACACTAAATGGTTATAGGAAACATATTTAAGGGATTATATGCAACATCCTTCATTTATATTCTTAGGTATGGAAAAATCTCCACTTAAGTATCAAACTTTGAGGGACATGTGCTTTATGTATTGTAAAACTTGAAGCATCAGAATCATTACTTGGTATCGGCCGATCACCATCACAAGGAATTGGTACTTGGTATCAGCTGCAAAAATCCTGATCGGAGCATCCCTAGCTCAAATCTAATTAAATTGTTCAAATAGGAAATAAATTACTGGACCAAATACTACTTAAAATCCCCTTAAATCTCAATGAATTGACTAATAAATGTAAAGAATTCAGTTTAATTTCACTCATTACCATTTTTAAAGTCAAAACATAGACATTCATTATTTTTAACTTAAGTAAACTTTCGAAGTAATTTTTTTTTGTCATTAATGATTACATGAATTAATTTCTTTTTGTCAAATAAGTTTTTTTATTTGGTCATTGAAAAACTTACAATGATCACAGATTCCAGCATTTCGTTACAATACATTGCTTTGGGGAGAAGAATTCCCCATATGAATTAATTTCTTAATACATTATATTGTATGTACATTATTTCATCAGAATGTGGGATTGTCTTGATAAATAAAATTTTGAAATCGGATAATTCGGTAAAACACAGTTACATAGCAAAATATGCAATTACTCTGCTTTTCTCTATTTATACCATGTATTGTTATGAACGCTCATTTTTTTGAGCGTTTGCAATTTTCTTCATAAATGTAACCTTTTTTTGTTGAAAAATATAATTATTCTGTAAAATAATAAAACATAACTGTTTAAAATTGTATAACAAAAACAGTTACTTTTGCAGTTGCTTTAAGTAACTACTCACTTTGTAACTCGATACATCCTACACTGGTTGCTAAGCTTAGCCATGTACCAGCTCTTTGAGAGTTCAGAACAGTTCAAAATCATGGTTGAAACAGTGGTTCCTCTCAGTTTGCTTGATGGTGAGTCACATGTTGTTCTGCACGAATGGCTCAGCGTGATGCAGTCTGTGGGTGTGACTGTTTTGCATTTAGAGGAATGCTGACAGACCCATCAAAAGCTGTCCAGTTATGTGACGAATGTCTATGTCTTTAATGTGCTAACAGACACATGTTGTGTTTCTGTTCTTCTTCTCTGCTCCAGGTACCCAAAGCTCCTCCCGTGACGTTACTGACAGCTGCAGAGGACGTCAAACACTATGAGGAGTCACGCACGTGTGTGGAGGATCTGGCGCTCTATCTCAAACCCCTCAGCAACACCAGAGGTCACTGCTCCTTTATAGATTTGTCTATTTGTTTTTGTATTGTTTGTTTTGATGAACTGTATATGTATTTTTATTGTTTTAAAATTCAAAATGAAATCAAAAATTACAAGGTTTATTTTGCGCACATTGTTAGTTTTAAAGCGATCAATTAATCCACGAATCTACTGATAAAAAATACAAATGAATGGCAGACCTTCTATGATGTCAGTTTAATGGCGTTAACCGGTAGTTTGGAAGTAAAGGATCAGAGGAGCGCAAAAATTAAATGAGACCCCTACAAAATATTACATTTAAATTTGAAAGGAGTGACTTCAGATTCACTTGGACTTTAACTTACACCTTGTGGTTTTTAAGTGATTCATCCTAAGCACATTCATATATCATTAAGTCTATTAGGATGTCAATTGAAATGCAAGGCAAAAAGAAGCAGAACCAATTTAATTCATTATTATTATTATTATTACCACTACTACTTTTATTATTATTATTATGCTACGTTTAGTTTGTTTTGTAATATTTTTATGATATCTGCATTTTGTATTCCTATTTACATGCACTTTTTAATGTTTATTTATGGTACATATCTGTTTCTGCCATATATGTGGACATATACAGTTGAAGCCAGAATTATTTTAGCCTCCCTTTCAATTTTCTTTTCTTTTTAAAATATTTTCTAAATTATGTTTAACAGAGCAAGGACATTTTCACAGTGTGTCTGATAATATTTTTTCGTCTGGAGAAAGTCTTACTTGTTTTATTTCAGCTAGAATAAAAGCAGTTTTTAATTTTTTTAAAACACTATTTTAAGGACAGAATTATTAGCCCCTTTAGGCTATATTTTTTTTTCGATTTTTCTACAGAAAAAACAATCGTTATACAATTACTTGCCTAATTACCCTAACCTGTCTAGTTTACCGAGTTAACCTAGTTAAGCCTTTAATTGTCACTTTAAGCGGTAAAGTGTCTTGAAAAATGTCTAGTCAAATATTATTTACTGTCATCATGGCAAAGATAAAATAAATCAGTCATTAGAAATGAGTTATTAAAACTAATATGTTTAGAAATGTGTTGCAAAAAAAATCTTCTCTCCATTAAACAGAAAATGGAGACAAAAAATAAACAGGAGGGCTAATAATTCTGACTTCAACTTATATGATTCTGGCATGTATGTGGACATATAGATTTCTGACATATATGGGACATATATGTTTCTGCCATAGATGTGGACATGTGTTTTGCACATGGGACATTTATTTTTCTGACAAATAGAACATATGTGTTTTACATATATGGAACATACATGTTTCTGACATATATGTGGACATATGTTTCTGAAATATAAGGGTCATATATGATTCTGACATGTATGTTTATGGCATACATGTGGACGTATATCTCTGAAATATTTGGGACATTTATTTGTTATACACATAAGGATTGTATACCTTTCTGGCATATATGTGGAAATAGATGTTTTTGACATATATAGGACATACATTATGTGTTTTATACATAAATGTGCCATGTATGTTTCTTGCATATTTGTGGACATATATGTTTCTGACATATATGGGACATATACATTTCTGGGATATACATAGACAAGTTTTTGACATAGGGGACATAAATGTGGTTGCTATACATGTAGGGGACATGTATGTTCATGACATATATGAGACCTATATGTTTCTGACATATATGTGGACCTATATTTCTTACATATATGAGACATGTATGTTTCTGACAAATATGGGACATACATGTGCTATACATTTGGGGGTACATATATGTTTTTGGTGTCTTTGAGACACATGTGCTTTACATATATGCACATATGATTCTGACATGTATGGCACATGTGTGTTTCTCGCATATTTGTGGACCTATATCTTTCTGACATATATGGGACATATATGTTGCTGACATGAGACCTATATGTTTCTGGCATATGTATGGACAAAGACGTGTGTTATGTATTTATTATTTTTTGATTGTTGTTATTTTGTTTGGATATTTAAAAATTCACTGTTTTATAGATGCTTTGTTTTTACATTTAAAACATTAATAATAATTCATTGTAAACATTCATAGCAAAGCAAAAATTATATAAAAAAATGCTTTTTAGAAATGAATTTGTTTGTTTATTTTCATTTAATTTAGAAACCTAAAAGGTAATCCAGTGTAGGCACAATCTTTCCTCATAAGTTTTGTTTTTAATATTTTTTTTTGTGCTATCTATTCATATTACTTAGTTTTTGCAATTACTAAAATTGTTTGCATCCTTAACCATTCACCATGCTAGTCATCCTTCACATTGTTCAGCAATGAGTGAAAGACTCTGTTGACTCTTGTTTATGTGTGTGCAGGTGCAGGTCTGAATGGCGCAGCTCAGAGTGTCCTCAGCAGGCCCATGCAGAGGAAGCTGGTGACGCTGGTGCACTGCCAGCTGGTGGAAGAGGAGGGCCGCATCCGGGCCATGAGGGCAGCCCGTTCCCTGGGCGAACGCACAGTCACAGAGCTCATTCTCCAGCATCAGAACCCCCAGCAGCTCTCCTCCAACCTATGGGCCGCCGTCAGAGCCAGAGGCTGCCAGTTTCTTGGCCCTGGTAAAATTTTACCACCTGACCCTTTTACCAAAATATAAAATAGTTCTATATTGTTACCAGGCTGTGTATATGGAGTTTTAACTTGAAATACTCCTCAGATGTTTTTATTTAATCCATCTTTTTCCCCTCATGACTGGTAGAATTGCCAAAAATATCAACTTAAAATATCAACCAATCTGTACAGACATTTAAAAAACGTCAATTTCCTTCTAACATTTGAACACGTTCTTAAACAATGCTGATTTCCCCCCATTACTTAAAAATGCATGGAGTCGAATGCTAAATTGTGCTAAAAATGCTAAAGAAAAACATTTTCTTAAGAACCTTGCTGTCATTTAAAGATTTAACAAGACTTTAATAATAATAATAATAATCATCATAATATCAGTTGAATCATTTTATAAAATGACAGTGAAAGTAAACTCATAATGATTGTTTAAAAGGGCGCTTTTTCCAAGATGATGTATTTCTATATTCTTTTGTACTCTTTATAAACTTACATTAGGAGGTTTATTGATTTTCATTTTGAGCTATATCAGCTAACATAACTTTCTTGTGCTTAGCTGGTGGGTTACATTTTATTGCTTTTATTTGAGCTTTACACTGAGCGAGTTTTTTCACATGGTGTTAATATTCACAGTACCTAGTAACAAATGTCTTTTGAGTCGTTAAAAAAGCCCTGAAACAACAACAATAAATTTAAGACAAGAAGCTTACTCGACCAGACTAGACAAGATTGGGTTCATGAGAACGAGATAAGATTTTTATACTTTTTTTAGGAATCCGCAATGATTAAATATATGAATGGAAAATAGTCTTTTGTTTAACTAAAAATATCACAAAAGACAAAACAATTTACAGGGTTCATACTGTCATGAATAACCTAAAAAAGTCATGGAATTTTGACATGGCATTTTCAAGGCCTGCAAAAGTTTTGGAAAAACTGAAAAACCCACCAAGTTTTGGAAAAGTAATGGAAATTAGTTTAACAAGTATCTGAATGCTTAAATATAGGTTAGTTGTCTTTACTTCTTTTCTGTCCATGGTCAAACACATGCTGTCACATTATTAGTGCTGTGTGAACATTGTCTAAATAAATTTTACATAGATATAAAGATTAATTTAAAGAGCCCATATTATACATGAAATACGGTCATATTTTGGTTGTAAGGGTCTCCAACAACAGTCTAATAAGCATGCAAGGTCAAAAAAACACTTTCATGGTCTTATAATCTGCATTTATTTTTACCTAATTATCCAAGCGACTCTCATATGAATCGTCCAGTGATTAATTTGTTCCCAAATCCCCCCTCCACACGAAGCTAATCTGCGCTGATTGGACCAATGTCAGTCTGTTGCGATTGGTCGACACTGACTGCCTTATGCGACAGACAGAGTGAAATGCCCATCAGCTAATCTTAATTCAAATCCAATCCTGTCTCCAATCTTAAGTTCTAAATCCACCTTCTTGCTCAATCATAACATTACAAGTCACGAGACAACTTATCACCTCGACCAGAAATATCATTGTGATTTAGTCTTGTGAGATCTCGTAGCCAGAGATCTCGTCACACCCATAGTTAAATTCCAATATAATATTAGTAACAGTTCCTACCACGTGCTTGTTTTTTAACAAATTACCAACACCAAGTTATCCTTCCCACTTCCCACTGTGAGAAATGCATGGTGAATCTGTAAGAACCCTGCCTTGAGAACCCTGAATTAGAGGTCTGCACCCGACCAGATTTCTGCAGCGCACAAAATAAATTTCCGAATAAATCGCAGGAGCGGTCGGTAACGGGTTTAATTTGGGACGGGAGCGGGCTGTCTAGCAATATCGCGGATATTGCTATGCGAATGAGAGAGAGAGAAAGAGAGAGAGAAAGAAAGAGAGAGAGAAAGAGAGAGATTTGCTTGTGTTTGTGTGTATGTTAGTGCGCGCACGAATGAGAGAGAGAGAGCTTTCCCAGATAGCAAAATACACTCGGGCCAGTTCCGGCTAGATTCTCGCCTGCCAGAGACTTACCACTCAGCCCGGCTCCGGCTGTCGGACTCCGGATGTTTGTGGACTCGCTGCCCGATTCCGGCCCGAATCAATCAGGCCAGATGCGGCGGCCGTAAGCGAGCCGACGCTACCACATCCGTGCCGGAATCGGCCCGAGAGTAATGTGCGCTGCGGCCCGGAGCTGGCGCGACTCAGTATTTATATACCTTTATATAAAACCTTTTGGTTTTACATTGGTTCTTGATACATGGTATTACAAGCCTTTGAGTTGATATAAAAGCAAACGCCTGTGTGTCTGCTTGGTGCTTGTGTGTGTGAGAGAGAGAGAGAGAAGTTGAGAGAGAGAGAGAGAGATTTGTCTGTGTGTGTGTGCTTGGTGCTGTGTGTGTGTGTTTATTTATACAGACAGCTTGGCTGTCTGGACTGTATAGCTGGGGGATTTTCGGTTTTGTTCTCCCCCGCTCTTTAGCGGGATCGGGTGCGGCGGGCAGAAATTGGGGCGGGTCAGGCAGCGGGACAATAAATTCTTAATTTAAGCGGGGGCGGTCGGGTTCGGGCTAAAACCTGGCGGGAGCGGGATTCAAAATTTAGTCCCACGCAGATCTCTACCCTGAATGATGCTGTCTTGGCAGGTGTCCATGTGCTGTGGTGTTCTTTTTATTCTGTAGAGTGCAACATTTCTCCAAGTTCTTCCCTGCTTGCTGCCATGTTTTTTGTGTGTTTCTATTGTAAAGCAAGGAGAACTACAGAAGCACACAGGGGAGTGTCCCATGTGTTTCATTCAAACAAATTGATATAAACTTTACATTCATTTTGATTAATAAATTCAATTTATCGACCATCCTTACATGATGTTCAGCGGTGAAAAGTGGCAAAACGACAGCCAATCACAATCATATCTGTTGAGCAGGTGAACACATTGACCAATCAGAGTTTAAGAAGCTCAAACATTAGTGGGAAATTAACTTTTTTAGCATTTCAGTACCGATTGGTACCAAAGTAGTTACTTTTGATAACCCCTGACATCCGATTTTGGGAAAAAATCACTTCAAATAAAAAGGGTGCGCTACAAATAGACATGGGCCGGTATAAGTTTCTGACAGTATGATAACCGTGACGGTTTCACAATATCATAGTATTTTGATTACTGCTCTAAAATGAGTTCTTTTTAAATGTCTGGATAAAAAACAATTTTTTCCCCCTTTGAAAATTTTTATTTTATTTTTTGAAAGGTTTATGAAATTTTGGAGCAGTGAACATGACAGGCTCAATAATGAAAATGACTGATTGACTTCTGCTGTCTTCATTAGTTTCAAAAACACAGATTTTTTTACAGTTTAATAATCCTATAAAAGTAAATAAATAATAAATCTTACACATACTTTAGAAACAGTATTACAGAAAGTTTTGGTCGGTTTTAAAACCTTGACTTTTTACCAAACCACGGTATACTTTGAAAATGGTTATCATCCCATCCCCAGCTATAGATAATCCTAATATATAAAGAGAACTGATCGAAAGCTACATTTGACCTTGTGCTTTATTTTTATCCCAAAAAAGAAAGGAACAACGTTATGCTTGGTATTTTGACGTGTCATTAGTATGACAGCCATCTGTGGCCAAAGCTCTCTTGAGTTCACTGTGTTTTTCCTCCAGATTATTTTCTCGTTATATTCTCTACAGTACAGTAATATTAAATATGCCATATAGTCTGTTGTGTTGCACAAATGCTCGCCTCAGTTCTTGGGGTTATTCATGGTACGCTGATAGTAATATCGTAATTCTAAATAGTTTTTACCTTAATACTGGATGGATGAACTGGGAAGAGAAGATTGACACTTCACTGATTGTTTATAGTTCAATGGAATTTACTCTCATTATTCAAAACATTCCACTGTCATCTTTACAGAAAACATGCCCTGTTTAAAAGTCGCTCATCTGATTATCATGTGCATAATAAATGCATGTTTTGAATTCCACCAATGAGGAGCATGACACTTAATATACCTCATATACTATACTTAATAAGGAGTGAGAGTACACACACGCACACACACACACACACACACACACACACACACACACACACACACCTATAAGGTTTACACCATTTAGCCACAACTGCCTCTGTATTGAGATAATGTACTGTATAATGTCCCCTGATTGGGATTATAAAGAAGTGAGTGGGTGAAGTTTATTATCATACACTGCAAACATCATAAACACTCCTCCACACAACATTTTAGAGGGCACATAATAGGTGTGTGAAATGAATTGTTGGTGCTAACTAAGATTGCTTCTGCCCAACAGCCATGCAGGAAGAAGCATTAAAGCTGGTTCTGCTCGCTCTGGAGGATGGTTCGGCCCTTTCAAGGAAAGTTCTGGTCCTGTTTGTGGTCCAGAGATTGGAACCACGCTTTCCTCAGGCCTCCAAAACCAGCATAGGACACGTGGTGCAGCTCCTCTACAGGGCCTCCTGCTTTAAGGTTTCCCTTACCATATTGATGTTTCTTATTACTTTTCATGGTTTTTTATATATATATATATATATATATATATATATATATATATATATATATATATATATATGTGTGTGTGTGTGTGTGTGTTTGAGTGAGTGTGTTTTTTTAAATCTATTTGTATAATTTTAGCTAATTATATTTAGAAAGTCTGTAATAATAAAGATACTTATAAGAAATTATTTATTTATAAAACACAAAATACTAGCTTCACTTAACTATAATGCTGTGTTCACACCAGATGCGGAATGCATTGCGCTATTCGCGCGTAAATAGCCGCATGAACATTTGAGTTTACTCGCTTCATTTGTGTGTCAAAACCGCTTCATTCGCGTGTCAAATTCGCTTCAGAACAGACGCGTATTTGCGTGATGGGCAGGGCTTCTGTCTGCTCGGTGACTGTAGCTTCGTTGCTAAATGGCTAACATGGGTTTTATGAAGAAAATAACCGTTTTTATGTGCTTTATGAAGGCTGAAAAACAGCGTTGACACGTTTAGGGTCATTTCTATATCCTCTGTTAGTCCACTATATCCTTTCAGAGCTGAACCTGGATGACGGAGGCTTTCAGCGGTGCTTTTGACTGAGCCAAGCTCAGTTTGATGAACTTTTTGTCGGTGTCGGCTGGAGGTTTTCTCCCGGGATACTGACAACAGGGGATACGTCACAATCACGCCCCCACAAGAGCAAGCTCCTGATAGGTTAACGCTGCGCGAATGTCCACTGAAGTTCAGATTTTTGAACTCAAGCGATTTGCGCGTTAAGCGTGTCAAACACGTAAAACGCTCAATTCGTGCCATTCGCACCGCGCCAGTCATGCGTATCGCGCCGCAGGATGTCTATTCGCGCGTTTGCATTGACTTAACATGTAAATCACTCGCGCTTGACACGCGTTCCGCGTCTGGTGTGAATGCAGCATAATATTAGCTGCACTTTTTTTTCCAGCTTTTTATTTTTTTTTTATTTACAAGCTTTCTTACCTGTCAAATTGTTACATTTATTGTTTATATTAGGAATATTAGGAATTTAATAACAAGTACATGTATTTTTAATAATGAAATATTATTAATTCTAAAAAGTAATAATTGATATTAATGACATTATATTAAATTTGTTTTATTTTTGTAATTTTATTAAAAGTAATTTAAATGAAAATATAAATAAAATTAGGCCTGTATAAAATTGCCATTAGCTATTAAACAGTTACAGTAAACACTTACAGTTAAATATATATTGATGTTAACACATATGTTCAACTATAAAATGAAATGTAAACCATTTTGTTTATTAATTTTTTTTGTTCGTTTTAACTTCAGGTGACCAAGCGTGATGAGGACTCCTCCTTGATGCAGCTGAAGGAAGAGTTTCGCACATATGAGGCTCTTCGTAGAGAACACGACTCTCAGATCGTCCAGATCGCAATGGAGGGCGGCCTGCGCATTGCCCCAGACCAGTGGTCTTCTCTCCTGTATGGCGACCAGTCCCACAAGTCCCACATGCAGTCTATTATTGACAAGGTACAACAGGATGAACAAAAATGGATTTTATGTAGAGCTGTGGCAAAAAATCATTAGATTTTGTGAATTTTTATTTTTATTTTTTTCCAAAATGCATCACTATTCTGCCTCAAATCGATTCTGAGCTTAGTTTTTAACAGCAGATGGTGCTCTGGGCTAGTCTAGAAGTTAGCCATAACTGTTTATATTATTACAACAATTTATATACTGTACAACAAATATGACTGTTTTTACATTACTGTGAGCGGTAGGTTTGGGGTTGGGCTGGGGTAGATTTTAATAAAATATAATTAATGGCTAAGTTCATAAATAATATAAGTAATTGTCTTTATAATTACTTTTTGTACATTTACTGTGAGGGGAAGGTTTGTGGTTGGTTACATGAGTAATATAATGGGTAATTTAATAAATATTTTAAATAATTGTCATTAAACTCAAATCTGCTTTCCCACAATGGCTCACACTGAGCCAGAAAAAGACACGCACAGCTCTTTTCATAAATCACAATTTATTAGTGTTTTTAAACAAATGTTTATTTACTTATTTAACCAGGAATGTCCCATTGAGATACAATATCTATATCTCTTCTACCAGGGAGTCCAGGTTAAGACAGACAGCATAGAATAGAGTTACAAAAAAAAATATATATATATATAATACGCACACAAAAACAGTATAAACCATAATCAATTGTTAAAACGTCTTTAAACTATTTTTAAATATAGCTATGGATGGTACGGATTTCATATGTAATATATGTTGAAGCTCACTCCATACGTATGGAGTATACTTGGAAAATGCAGATCGACCTACCTCTGTGTTAAAAAATGGCATCTTAAGTAAGAGTATACAATATCTGCTGATCTGGTATTGTAAGTATTCAAACAGTACTCCAACAAACTAGATAAATACTGTGGTAATTTACTAAGCTTATAAATGGAAACTACAATATGTTGTTTTCTCCTTAACTGTAATGAGCTCCATTCTGTCATTTTATATACACTACAGAGATGTGTGCGTGCGCTTGAACTAGGGACACTATGATATACAAGATCCAATTTTTTTAAAAACATTCAGAGGTGCTTGCATATAAAGTTTATCACCGTTATTCAATACTGATAGACGTGTAATCTCAACTAAACATTGTTGAAAATAAAAAACCTGATAATGGTCTAAGATTTTTTTTAAAAGGCTATCAATATAAAAAAAACTGTAAGACAACTTCATCAAGCCCGACACCTAAATATTTATAAGATGCATATAAAATAACTTTTATTTTATTTTGCATCTGGTTTTACTAATTAAATGCATGTTTTTACCTATATTTGAGAATTAGAATAATAGATATTTCACAATAAAATTAGGACATTTATCGATATTTACAGAAAAGGAAAAAAATATGTAAATGCTTAAATCGTCTGGGCTGTGATGTGTTGTGATAACTTGCACCTCGCCATGAAAACTTTAAAGCGGTCACATTAAAAAACTCAAGAGGGTCAGTGTTTAAAATTACATGTGAAAGGCGTAAGTGTTGGTAAATATTTTTTGTTGTTGTTTACACTTTTCTTCAAATGTTATGTGGATGAAATTGGGTTAAATTCTCGTTGTTGTTGTTTTTTTTTTTTTTGACAAATTAGAGTCAAAGGTGGTTTACAGAGGGAGTTTTGTGAGCTCTTAATTAATTATGTAGTTAAAGAAATTACTAAAAAGAAAGCAGCCAGAATAAAATACATGTCAGATTTTGTTTTTAGAATGAAATATCAGGTATAATCAGGCAAAAATGTAACTTTATTATTAAAGTGTTACACAGATAAGAATATACCTTTTAAGTTTGGTATATTTAAGTTCTGATAAAGTTATGGCTCAGTAAAAAGAATGGCTCTGTGAAGGAGGAAAAAAATCCATAAAAAAACAAATTAAATTTAAATAAATTAAATTTTAAATAAAATATGCCAACACAAGTTGCTAAATGTGACAAACACCTGAAAGAATGTTTTGGATGTTTTTTTTTTTGTTTTTTTTTATTAATCTGAAAAGACACTTCGCGCAAAACCCCCAAATCGTAAAAGTTGGTGCATAAAGTCAGGTGCATAAAAACAGTGCTAAAATTTCACTTGGAGGTTTTTTTAAGGCCGGTCTATAAAGAAAGGATGGGGTTTGCGTTCTCCAGCACTCCTCGTAGCTAACACATTTAGTGTGTAGGGAACGTCACCGTGTGCATGAAAACATGTTGATTTTTGTCCGCCTGTCGGTATGTGAAGAATGTGTTTATGAGGTTTTGTGTGTTTCAGCTTCAGACTCCAGCATCTTTCGCTCAGAGCGTGCAGGAGCTTACCATCGCCCTGCAGAGAACCGGAGATCCTGCCAATCTGAACCGCCTCAGGCCTCATTTGGAGCTGTTGGCCGACATCGACCCCAGTCCAGGTCTGTCCGTCTGCAGTCTTGAGTGTATCGGCACTGCTATACAGACAAATGGCATGTGTGAAGTTGTGTGTTTGTGCTCATTTGTGTTTGTGCTAATAGATGCCCCTGCGCCCACATGGGAGCAGTTGGCTAAAGGGTTGGAGGCGGTACGGACTGTTGTTCATGGACTGGTGGATTTCATCCAGAACCACAGCAAGAAGGGAGGGGATCAGCAGCAGGTCTGTACACAGATCGTGAAATAATCCCTGTTCAAAATTTCATTTGAAATCTGTGAAATCAAAATGCCCATTTATGTATTTTGCTAGCCCGTATTGTTATTGTTTAGGTGAACAATTTATCCATGCAAGTTAATACGGTGAAATAAAAAGTTTGTTTTTATAATCAAACTCTGAACATCTGCTTCCGCGTTTGGAGCGGCGGTCCTTCTCTGATAATGTCAGTTTGACAGCGTCATACTCAATATTCTTAGCTACAACCCTCTTATCCAGAGTATCCACGGGGTCTCAAAAGCGAAATTTTAGGCCTTAAAAAGTCTTAAGCCTACTGAAATATTGTGTTGTAGGTCTTTAATCTTTTTAAACAGGTCTTCATTTTCCTTTATTCATGTAAAGCTACGCAGTCTGGCCATTAACAATGTATATTATCATACAACAATGTACGCTCATCCAATCACCAACAATCCCAATCTCAATAAAAAATGTTATTTAAAAATAGCATTTTAACTTTATTTACTATAAAGTTTTAATTACTTTCCTCACAGTAACATTTGTTTAACAATTCTCCATTTATTTACTGCCGAGGACTGACCTGACCTATATTTTTATTATTACATTATTATTATTGAATTGTATTAAATTCTAATCATTTTTTGATAAGGCAAGTGAAATTTTTTCATACTGGTATATTTGAATAATCCTTAGCATTTAGCCCTGTATAAGTCTAAAATTTCATTCATAATGGTCTTAAAAAGTCTTAAATTTAACTTTGTGAAACCTGCAGAAACCCTGTTACCGTTAGTTTGCTATGAGGGAATGATCAGCAAAAAGAAAGCCCAGCCCCCCACTCAATATTCAGTTTCAGTTGGAAGTATATCCGTATGTTATTTTGAGTTTGATTTTTCAATTTCTGTACTTGAATACTGTTAGACTGTAGAAAACCTTAAAGCACTGTTTGTTTCACTTTTGTTTTTGCTCTGTTGTATTTATACATGTTCATAATTTATTATAATTTATCCAAACGCACTGCATCAAAAAAGGCTTCATCATCCCAGTCAATCTAAATGAATAATTCTTTTCAAATAGAGCTATTCAAATCATCTGGTGAAATTCTATTCATATCACAGAAAAACAATATATTGCAATGTCCAATTTATATATATATATATATATATATATTATCATTATTATTATTATTATTATTATTATTTTATTTATTTTTCAATAGCGGGTCGGTAATCAGTTACAAATACTTTTTAAAAACTTAATATATGCATATATAATAATATAATATATAACTATATATTTTTATTATGATCTGATAAAACTGCTTGCTCACATGTATATTATTTTTGTGTTATTATTATTATTCAGATTGAAGGGTAACTTTGTTTCAGTTTTCCCTCTAGATTTTACAATGTCTCTTTACATCAATGATAATTTTATATTATTCATAAACTATTCTAGTGTTTATTATTTTGAATTAATTTTTTTTTTTACATTTTGAAGTTTTACAATCATGTCTTTGCGATTTAGTTTTAATATTATTAGTAGCAGTAGTTAGTAGTAGTAGTAGTAGTAGTAGTAGTAGTAGTATTGCATTGGTTTATTCATTGTAATTTATTGAAGCGTTAGCTCAGTAACCAGTACATAAACATGTATCTGCACATACTGAATATATACAGTTGACGTCAAAAAAAAAATTGTGCCCTCTTGTGAATTGTTTTTCTTTTTTAAATATTTTACCAAATGATGTTTAAAAGAGCAAGAAATTATTCATAGTATTTCCTTTTTATATTTTTTTCAAGCCTTATTTGTTAGATTTTTGCTCGAATAAAAGCAGTTTTTCCTTTTTTTTTTTTTTTTTTTTTACATTTTAAGGTCAATATTATTATAAGCAGTATTTTTTTAATTGTCTATAGAACAAACCATCATTATACAATGATTTGCTTATTGCCTAGTAAACCTAATTAACCTAGTTAGCCATTGCATGTCCCCTTAGGCTGAATACTAGTGTCTTAAAATATCAAGTAAAATATGATTTACTGTCATCATGGCAAAGATAAAAGAAATCAGTTATTAGAAATTAATTATTAAAATTGTTTAGTAATGTGTTTAAAAAAAATCAAATGAATCTAAAATTCTTAAACAGAAATTGAGAAAGTATACAGAAGGGCTAATCATTTAGGAGGGCTAATAATTCTGACTTCAACTGTAAGTAATCCTCTCTGACCTCTTGACTCTCGCTCCACAGCCTCCTCAGCACAGCAAATACAAGACCTACATGTGCCGTGACATGAAGCAGAAGGGTGGCTGTCCCCGTGGAGCGAGCTGCACCTTTGCTCACTCTCAGGACGAGCTAGAAAAGTGAGCACCACATTAAACACATTCAGTACTGCAGAATCAGTGTTTGCATCAGCTTCACCTTCTCTTGTGTACCGACAGATACCGTAAGATGAACAAGCGTGTGGGGATGCGCCGTCAGCTCAGTCAGTCTCTTACCCAGCTGAATGAGCTGGATCTGGGACTGTTATCTGACGACGGGCCGCCCATGGAGGGTCTGCCACGCAAATCCTCCTCTATCACCAACGGGATACTGGCAGCGGGACCTGGATCGGCTCTGGCTCATCTGGTTTCCCGAGGCTCGGACCCATCTTATGAGCCCACACACAAACCTACCAAGATGGATTCTGGGAGCCTTAGTGCACCTGGCTCACCTCCAGACTCGTGAGTTTGTTCGCTGGCACCAGGAACAAGAATCTCATGTAGGACTGACGTAGAAACATGTAACATTTATGTCAAATATATATTTAATTGTTTAATAAGTTATTAGTTAAAAATTTTAATAGTTTTTTGTTTAATTAATTTCATTTAATCAATTAATAATTAATAAAAAATATTAGGGTATGTAAAATTATTTTATAATGTTTTATAGCAATATTTTTTAAATCTAATTATTAATTTTAATCAAATTATTAATTAAAATAGTATTAATTTTAAAGCATTAATTAATATTAATTTCCCCATTTTATTTTTATTTGTATTAACTTTAATTAAAATTGATGTTTAATTAAATTTTGTTAATATTATAAAAATTATAATAAAATTCAAAAAAGTGTAAAATATAAAATCTAATTTTTTAATTACTTTTTGATTGTCATTAAATATTTTTTATTTAATTTTAAATAAATAAATCGTTTAAAATACGAATTGATTTATTATTAGTTTTTATTGCTATTTGTTTGCCATTAGGGTTAGGTTATTATTCTTTTTAGTAAATTTTTGGCTTTTTATTTTTTTATTAACTTTAATCAAATTTAACTTCATAATTCAACCAATTTATTCATATTTTTTTCTTTTAATAAATATAATATTAATGTAATAATATAAAAAATATATAAAAAATTATATAATTTATAATTATTAAAATACAGACACAGGAGCTGAAATCAGTTTAAAAAAATAATTCATTTTTTTAAATCAATTAATAAATGATAAAAATATATTAATTTATGTATAATTATTTCATATAATCTATATATTTGTGGATAATTATTTGCAGTTTATTTTAATTAAATATTAAATTGCACTCTATCTCCTCCGATTCATAGATTGGAATCCATACCGAAACCATCAATGCTCATGAATGCCCAGTCCAGGATAGCAGGCGATGGCGCAGTGGGACAGAAGCACTTGTCTGCGGTGCCTAGAGTTCCTCAGATGTATTCGTCACACCAGCCTGACCTGTATTTCCCTGAAACAAGAGCACCACCACCACCATCTGCCTCATACGAATCCTCCCAGTATGCCACAGGTACACAGAAACTGTTATCTACAGCCCAAAAGGCTATCTAATTCAAATCGCAATATAAAATATAAATATAGAAAACAAAAGAAAAGTGAAAACTAAATAATGTGAGTCTGCTTTGATATTTTAATTGAGACCAAAAGAAAGAAAGCTAGGAGTCATAACATATGACATAATATATGCTTTAAAATCATTTAATAAAATAAGCTATAATAGTAACATTGTTCTAATGATGTGTTAGCAAGATGCATGTCTTTTTCGCACACATTTATTACTGGATGACGCACATTCTCCTGTTTTGTTAGTATGATTGCAAATGAATTGATTTTATACATCAGTTCAACAACAACAGCAAAAAGTATTAGAAGACATTTTTAATATAATGTTTATGTTTTTTTTTTCAGTTTCATCAGTAAAGTTTTTTCCAAACTATGCTGGTCCAAGAAATATGTTTCCTTCCAGAATTAACCGATTTCGGAATCTATTTTTTAATGAAATATTTGTAATGACAGTCAATTGCTTAATTTCCAAATGAATTAGCTGTTTTGAACAAATCACTTGAATTAAAAAGTCAATGAATCAATTCGTTAATATAGGGACTTTCAGCCTGATTTTAGTGTCATTTATTTAGCTCCATGTCACAAGAACAAAAACGCACTCAATATATTGTGTAATAATTGTCATCAATCTAAAAATGTTTAAATGTATAGATTTAAATTAATATATTCACTGCAACAAGGATAAAGTACTGCAATTTTATTGTGTATTGTACACTGGTTAGTGTGGTTAATGGTAATAATAATATTAAAAAGATAGTTCACCCAAAAATCTAAATTCTGTCATCATTCACTCATTCTAAAATTGTTTCAAAGCCTGTTGAGTTTAACACTTTTCTGAAATAGATGATATTTTAATGAATGTTGGATCGCAGCAGCAAATAAATTTCATAGTTTTTTCATACTATTGCTCACAACTGCTGCTAGTTCCCAAAAGTTTTCAGAATGTCTTGTTTTGTGTCGTAAGAGAGAAATTGATGGAAGTTTAGAACCACTTGAGTGTGAGAAAATATTCATCCCTTTTAATGTTGTAATTGCAAACTACTATTTAACAAATTTGTTCCTCATAAGATGACATTTCCTCCAGTCTCCCATTCAACCTAATTTCACTTTCAGTGTGTCCTCTGGGTCTTAAAAAGTATTAAAAGTTGATAAATCAATGTAGAGAAATACTAGCTAATTCAGATAGATTTGTATAATAGATTTGTATTCATGATATGAATAATGTTTTAGTTTTGGATTTGTTCCTTACATTAATGTTAAGTATATACGCTGTAAGTTAAAATCTCTTCAGTGTTTCCAGTTGAAACCTAATGTGGTTATAAGGTCTTAAAATGTATGGAAAGAGTCTTAAAAAAGGTCTTAAAAGGAATTGAAGCTCACTCTCTGATTCCTGTATATACTCTGAATTTGACACTTAGAATTTTGCACTTCTATAACCAAGCACTCTGCTTTTCTCTTTTCAGCTGGTAATCCTTACCCCCACCATCATCGTTACCCCCGTCATCCCGCACCCGATCCAGGAATGTCGCCATATCCGGACTCTTATCCCAACTCCTACGTCTCAAAGCACCAATACGCCAATCCTAGCGCTCATTATGGATACCCTTCACGCCATGACAACCGATGCCACTCACCCTACGCTCATCCCCAAACATTCGCCCCACGTGAAGAGCTAGTCCGAAGAAGTCCAGACATCCCTCCCCCGCTACAACCCCAAAACACCAGCACCTCATATCTACCCGAATCTGCTCAGGAGAGATACACCAATGACACCTATAACCATCCCAGCCAGATCAGGAATTATCACAGGGTAAGAACCACTACTTTTAATACAACCCCAAATCAACCGCCGCTTTTGGACACTGTTAATATAGGGCTTCTTTTTTGCACAGTACAGTTTTGACTAGCATTTGTGGATATAACTACGTATTGTGGTACTTGACAGGTTTATAGCTTATAGATGAATGGTGATTCTTGACGCAGAGCCGCCTAATGGATCGGAGATTACGTTTTGAAGATTACGTCCTTGTCCTTTACGCACTGAAATACCTCCAGATTCCTTAAATCTTTTAATGATGTTATGCACTGAAGAGGATTTCAATAATTTTCCCATATTTTTGTTGGCAAACTGTTGATCCTCAGCCCATCTTTGCTCCTAAAAAACTGGACCTTTTTTGGATGCTGCTTTAGTACCATATCATAATTAGAATCACCTGTTGACATCACTTGTTTCAAATCAAATCACTATTTAACAAATTTACCTGATTACTAGCCCTAAATTGCTCTTGTCCCAACTTTATTTGGAAGGTCTGAATGACAGGAAGGGATGTATATTTACAAGTGAAATGAAGTTGACCACACAAAACATGAAATATTTTGTTCATATTTTCTGCCATAAAATACAAGTCTAAGAAAATTTGGAAGTCACTATTTTTTTATTGACGTTTTTCTGGTTTAGGGTTGTATCTCAGCTTTTTCATATTTTATGTTGCACCTCTCTGCAATCTCAAATATTGTTGTGTACTGTTGCAGTGTTGTGAAGTTATGTAGAGCAAGTTAAAACCACAATGTCAGATTTTATTTTCTGGTAGGAGCTAGTAAAAGAACATTAAGGGCCCCAGAACAAAACCCTGGGGGACACCTTGAGAGACATAGGCAGTAGCGGTTGAAAATGTAATGCTGATGGTCAGCATTGCAGCAGTCTCTGGTTTACAGCTTAAATAATGAAAATCTTGTGTTCCCAGAATGCCTACCCTCGAACTCAGCACTCGCTGGACTACCTGCACCGGCGCAGAAAGGAGATCATGGCCCAGCTGGAGGAGAGGAAGGTTGTTTCTCCACCGCCTTTCGCCTCTTCACACTCTTATGACTCGGGCTACCCTCAAGATATGAGGGCACAGAGAGATGTAAGAATAAAGCATGTTAATAATTAGAATAATAATTTAATTTAAAAGATTTTTGGCTGCAAGCTAATGTAAACCATACCTACTACCTGACAAAAGTCTTGTTGTCGATCCCAGTTGTAGGAGCAACAAATAATAGCTTGACTTAGTTGATCATTTGGAAAAGTGTCAGAAGGTTGATTTTTCTGATAAATCATCTGTTGAACTATATCCCAGTCATCACAAATACTGCAGAAAACCTATTGGAACCCGCATGGACTCAAGATTCTCACCAAAATCATTCAAGTTTGGTGAAGGAAAAATCGTGGATTGGGGTTACATTCAGTATGGGGCATGCAAGAGATCTGTAGAGGGGATGACAGCCTGAGATATCAAGACATTACACACACAAATACACGCAAATTCTTCAGCAGGATAGCGCTCCTGCTCATACTTCAACCTCCACATCAAAGTTCCTGAAAGAAAAAAAAGTCAAGGTGCTCCATGATTGGCCAGCCCAGTCACCTGACATGAACATCATTAAGCATTGATTGTCTGGGGTAAGATGTAAGAGGAAGTTTTGAAGATGACTCCAAAGAATCTTGATGAACTCTGGGAGTCCTGCAAGAACATTTTCTTTGCCATTCTAGATGTATTTATTAATAAGTTATTTGAGTCATTGCAGAGATGTATGGATACAGTCCTCCAAGCTCATGGGAGTCATACACAATAATAATTCTGTTTCCACTGCACCATGACTTTAAATTCTTTACTGTACATTATTTCTGTTAAGTGACAAAACCTTTTTTGAGCAAAGTCAGACCTTACTGTCCTAATTAAATAAATAATCCTAATTTGCCTTCTATATAAGCCACTTCTAGTTGATCATTTGGTATCAGAAGTCAAGTTATTATTTGTTCTTCCTAAAGGGCGTCTCACGCAGAATGCGCCGCTCATCGCCGCAACACGGCATGCACATGACAGTTGAAAGTATCGCACACCAGGCGCGCACATTCGCTTGCTATTTAAAATGAAACTAACCAGATGGCGTTCTGTGGTGCAGCAGAAATATGAACAGTGTCCTGAGTTGTGGCTGGATGCCACCGACTAGCGGCACTGTTGTGTGTACCCTGATAAAAACCTATATTTAGAATTCTGAAATGCATGGCGAATCACTGAGCGGCGCTTCTGGTGTGTGACCTGCATAAAACTTGTATAAGTGACAAGACTTTTGTCAGGTAGTGTATATAGACCACACCTGTACATACACTTTTTCCCTAGTATGTTTTATATTGAAATAATAATACAAAAAAAGTTTAATACTGTTTTTATAGAAAGATATAATTAATAATACTGTTTTTAAAATTAAACTTGATTGAAATATTCATAATATTATTTTTATTCATTAATACTTATTAGAATTTTCCTTAAATATGTTTATTTAAGAATTTTATTTCATAAATAAAGAATTTTTTATATATGTTTTTTTTATTAATATAAATTACATAGGGAATTTTCAAACATTTTGTTTAGCATTTAAGATTTTCTATTATTATACATTTGCCATTTTCATTTTCTAATTATTTTTTACAATAGATTGTCTCAATGATTTTTATTTTTATATTTCTAAATGTTGTTTACTCAAAAACAAACAAAAAAAGATCGATTTTGTAGTCTTCCATAATAAGTCGTCATGTCCATATGGTTTACAGTACATTGAGAACTCGCATGGATTTGGACACTTCCGGGAACCGGACTACACTGCCTCATATTCACCATGGTTATGTGACACCATCGGTTCTTACATCGGCAGCAAAGACATGAAGTCCAAAGAGGGCATGCACTCCATGGACGCAGTAAGTTTGCCTGTTTATAGTTAACAGAACTTTACAGAAACTTAGCATTGGCCAGTTTTGCCTCGAGGCAGTAAGAAACCACACGCAACGCCCTGACAAACAACCACAAGTATTACATTTGTGTTCATTGCAAGAGGATTTTGCAGTTTTTCTCCCACACAAAAAGTTTGAGCTGTTTTCAGTGGCTGTTCCATTACAAAAGGTTATCAGTGTTTATTCTGGCTAGTCTGTACTAATCATCCTGTTGACTAACCCAAGGCCATAGGTGTATGTGTGTATATATGTTTGTGTGTGTGTGTGTGTGTGCATTATATGGATGTATCAAAGAAGAGATCTTGACTTTAGTTCATTTCATACTAGGGCTAAATATATTGTTTAGGGCTGTAACGATACACCAAACCCACGATTCGGTTCGTATCACGATTTTTGACCCACGATTCGATTCATATCACGATTTTTTATTTTATTTTTTTCGTGTGGGGTGGGGAAAAAAAAGATTTTTAAAACTATTTTTAATTAAATAAAATTTGAAAAATCTTTATAAACTTAACATCAAAGAACAATATTAACTATGCAAATTATTGACAATATAAATAGCCATATATAAAATAAATAAATAGGCAAAGCTATATCACTTCTGTTTTCTTTGTAACAAAATACTGTTGAAAAACCAAACTAAACTCCATTGTTTAGATGGTTCAAGCATGTTGAAAATTATTTTTCAATCAAGTTCTCTTGCATAGAAAAAGTAAATTAAATAGCTAGGGATGCTCATTTCGTTAATTTTGCTAACCGACAACCGCCGCTCATTAATCGGTTATTAACGGTTAACTGGTCAGATTACTATTAATTTTATATTAAACAAATTGACGTGTCTATTTTGTGTATGACACATTAAATATTGCATTTTAAAATACTGATTTATTTTTATATATTAATAGCGGAACAGAACAACAGAGCATCTTCACGCACCTGCAGTGTTTAGCACAGAAGAGCAGAATAATCTAAATAAAATGAATAAAATAAATAGGACTGCCCTAAATTATTTTCACTTAAATAATTAATTTATTTTACAAAACGAAAATACTGACTGATTCTTTTTAATAACCGGCATAGGCTTTTTTTCCAATCATATGTTTATTTCCTCCGTCAAATAAAAATCGCAGACTTCCTCAAATTGCTTGCTCCACGGAAAATATGCATTTATTTAATGCCCCGCTGTTATTATTATAATCACAAAACCTTTTACATTTTAATAGAAATCCTTATTTTAAAGATTATGTCCTGATATAGCCTATGGTTTCCTCTCTCTCCCTCGCGGTTCAAGTGCGCGCGCTGCCTAATGAAAAGACAACAACACGCGCGCATATGTTGACTTTTTGTAAACAGTTTGTTTAAATATGATATTGCATTAATCTGCGTACATGCTTTAAGCTGTAAAATAAAAAGTAAAGCCTATTTGTTGCGTTTATTACGCAGATCCAGGTCAACATAAGCGCTGGTTTAGTATCAACAGGTCTGTAGGCTATCAAACAGCAATATTCTTCTTCCATTTTGCTTCTTTAGCAAATGTGTCTGTAGGCACGGGTTATACGTTATCATCCCGCAAATTAAGTATGCCTTGCAGTTAAACAAGTGGCCGAAAACAAGGCGCACCTTACTGCCTTTATGTTGACAAGGAAAAAAGAAGAGGCGCGGTCCTCTTATAAACGACTGAATCAGCTGGGTATCGATTGTGCAAAAGTGTTGCTGTCTGTCTTGTTACAATTGTAATATTTAATACTATTGTTATATTCAAGATTTGTATATTCATACAGCTCTGGATAACTTAAAACAACGATTAGACCTTCAGAGCGGTGTTAATGCGTCCTGAAGTAAAGCGAAACGGCTATAAACTCCAGCAAGATAAAGTGATTATGCAGAGCCATATACCTTTATCTCTAAATAAAGTAGGCTATAACTATAGAAACTGTGTTTATTTTAACTGAAAGCTTCGTCGTGTTTTCTGACCGCACGCACCTGTCAGTCAGCACTCCCAAAGGTTCAAACAGAAAGCGCACTGCACAGTTACAGAAAAGTTTGGCTGTTAACTGACATCTGGTGAACGCCTATCCCTCTCTGCGCAGCCACATTAACAGTGTGAGCAAATCATCGTATATGCGCTGAAAATCCGGCCGCTTTGACAGCATTGGCAATGTTTCTGGCGTTGTCGGTTGTCAAGCGGGGTTAAGTTGGTTTTGTTTTTGATATTCTTGACACATTCAGACGGCCCCTTACTAAGAGCTCCGTGCGAGCTCTCCCGGCTAAATATTGCGAGGGCTTAAACGGAGCAGTGCTTGTAATGTCGAACGAAAAAAAGTGTTAATTAGCTCAACTTCTGCAGGCACGCGTGACGTTATTGGAAAGGTATGACGGGGTGGGTGTGTCGCGATTCTCCCTTATCACACCGCGACACAGGATCGTAGATCTGAGTGTCGCGATTTCGATTTTATATCGTGTATCGTTACAGCCCTAATATTGTTGAAAAATTAAGTATAATTCTGATACTTTGACACTGCTTTCAGTACAATATTTTTTTCTATACCAATTTAAAACCATTTGTTTTAAAACTATATATTTTATGATGTTAGATATTTTAAGACATTTTATACTTTAAACATCGAATTTTTATACATCTTTTTTTTTTTGCCTTTGCACAAAGAACAAAAATCACTGCAAGTTCAAATTCTGCAGTTTTAAGTTAACCATGTATAGTATAACATCAGTATGCAAGGTTCACTGCTGCATCCTTAAAGCCTTCATGAAACTGATGTAGACTTATTTCAAAATGAGGATGTAGGGGGCATGGCTAAACATATTCTTCCCAAGCCAACAAATTAGCTTTTTTTATGACAGAACTTTACATGGGATATGCACCGATTAATTGTTTACCATATGACCAGTGTTGTGCTAGTTACTGAAAAAAGTAACTAGTTACAGTTACTAGTTTCTTCATTCAAAAAGTCACTCGATTACTCTATTGATTACTTACACCAAAAAGTAATGCATTACTGTAAAGTAATATATCTGCATGGAGAATACACTGTTGATCAACTTCACTGTTTTAATTCATTTGCATTCTCACACCATAAGACATCATATATAGGACAGATTTGAACAAAAAATATTTTTTGACACTACTGTAATTTAAGTCAGACCAGCAGCACAAAAGTAAAAATATCACAAGGTGATAAACCAGCAATATACTATACCCTTATAATATATATATATATATATATATATATATATATATATATATATATATATATATATATATATATATATATATATATACATCTGTTATTTAACCCTTAAACATGTTACTTCACAACTTGAGTATAAAAACTAGAAAGAATATACAACAAACACAAAACCTTTATAAAATAAATAAACGAAAGTGATCTGAATTATCATTTAAAATCAACTTGATGAAACTCAGCATTAAAAAACTGCTATTATAGACAAACATAAATTTTATGCATTTTATACTACAAAACATAATAGCTGCTCAAATTAAATCTGAGCAATTTTCAAACTAACCACAAATTAAATGTGGGATGTCAACAACTTATGGAAAGTAAGCTGTGTATACTCAAAGTGCAAAATCTGCTGTTGTTTAAAAAATATGTAAAACTATTAAAAAAATAAATCACTGCATTTTGTTGAGCAGTACAACACTACATTTAAATAACGTGTTCTGAAATATAGCAGAAATGTGTCACTGTGTTTACTAATCAGTTTTGCTATACAGAACAAATGTGTATTTATTTGAAAACCACAAACATAGTAGTGTTAGTAATAGTAATTAATGATGGTAACATTTACAGCTCTTTCTTGTGAGCACACTTGGCCTCTTTCGCTGGCACCCGGTCTCTCTTGTGCGTATACTTGGTGTACTTTGTGTGCATTCGGTCTCTGCTTTTGCTTGACTATTGTTCAGGCTGGTTCCTCATACATGACACGTCTTCTTTACGGTGGTTGGTTGTCATCCACCAATCCCACAATGCATCACCGCTGTAAACAGGAAGATGTGAGCTAGACTGCAGCTAAAATTAATTAACTTACCAAGTAACGGACAAATGCATCATATTTTAACCATAACGGATGTACTATATTTAAAAAGGAATGTGTTACAGCATTAGTTACTGTCAAAAGTAAAGTCACAAAAAAACGTGTGATTGCCCAACACTGGTTATGACTAGGCCCACATGGAATCTGCGTGTACAGTAATACACAGATGTCTGCAGATTTTTAGCTCATCATTGGGTCTTTTTATTTACTTGTGTAAATGTTTGTTCGTTTATATTTGTTCAGTTTTTAAATTAATTTCAGTGTTATTATTGACTAAAAAGAAAATATATGATTTATTGACAATACAGTTTGTAAGGTAATATTTTCTGTCTTTTAGTAGATATATTATATGAGAGACTTGCTTTTACCAAATAATTTGATCTAATTTGATTTGCATTGTAAACATTAAATGCATGTAAAAAGGTTTTATGTTTTATTTCATATAATAAGTTTTTAGTTATGATACTCCCAAAATCAATCTGCATAAATCCACAGATTCTTTTCTCTGCAGAAATAGCAATAAATGTTTGCAGATTTGGTCTGGCCTTAGTTATGACTAATAATGTGACTTGTGCGCTAGCAAATGGAACATTGTATATTTTGACTTTTTTAATCACTCAGGAGTTCTTCTTTAAAAAAAGTTATCTCAAAATTAGTTTAATGTAGTATATAGTAAAATATATTCCAGTGATGGTGTATTTAAATGAAGACAGGCAGGTTACTTATAAGTAAATTAAAATAAATGCAAAGGCTATGTCAAAAATTGCATACTTCCCCACTATATAGTATGCTAGAAACAGTATGTAAGCCAAGTCTTATGTCTGAATCCATAATATTCAAAAGAAAACATTATGTGAGACATGTGAGTTTCCTGCATGACCTTTACCTCTGAAAACTGGACTTTACTAGAACTTCTGTTAAGCTGATTTGATAGAATCTACATTGTAAAAATTGCAGTAGAAATAAACATAAATCGAATTGAACCTACTACTTCTAAATGAGGTTCTGAAGTGCACATTCAGTTGATGCTACACTATCCCATGATGCAATGCAATATAATTCATAAATGGGAGTGAAGCAACGCAACTGACTCGTTATTTGTCATGTCTCGTTATCATGACAAATCGCAGATGTAGTATGTCCGAATTCTATTCATATTACTCACATTTATACTATACAGAGCGTACTTTTCTAACGGTCATGTAGTAATAGGCGATTTCGGTCGCAGCCAAAGTCACATGCATTTACTGTTAAGATGAAGTCATCTCCCAACAGATCCCCAAATAATAGATGTTCAGTCACAGCTGATTTCATAAAAACTGAACATAACTGCTGACATTTGAGGTTAGTCCAGCCCCACTGTTTGCCAAAAATGAAAACAACTGCACAAAATAAAGCAAATCAAAAGTCATAATTACAAAAAAAAAAATGGAAGCCAGAATTGGCCAGTTTTCCAGTTTTTGGCCAGACGTGTCAGTCTGCATATTCTGTTTCATTAAGTTATTGAATATGTATTCAAATTAGCATTTATTTAAATAATATTATTCATAAAGATTAGCATAAATAAGCATATTCAAATGAGACATTTTAACTAACTTGTACCATTTCTCCCAGCAAAATGTAGAGAAAGGCAAAAGTCTGCGAGTACACGGCTTGGAGCTTCAACGCAGAGCGACTGAAGTTAAAGACGATGACCCCATCATTCCCTTTGGCTCCCTGCCAACCGTGTCTCGTTTCGGAGCCATTTCGCGCACATCTAAACCGGGCTTCCCGCCAAACAGTCCAATGCCACCCTTGCCAAACTCTGCCAAGCACACCGGTAACCCCTACTGCTTTGTCCTCACATTGCTAACAGAATAGCTTGATTCCCATGTTTCTGAACGCTCTTTGTGTTCTCCTTTAAGCTGATTATACCTATGCGAACCACAGTGGGTGGAGTGGTGACTCCTACCAGTCACACCAAACGTCTCAGGGCCACTTCAGCGAGCGGTATGTTGTCTCAGTCTCACCCTTTCTAAGAAATGACTTGTTTTTAATTAGTAAATCTTTTCAGTAAATGAGTGGCACGTTGTCTGCTCATCCTGCAGGTCCAGTTTATCTCCTGCCGTACAGGCCCGCGAGCAGCTCAGGATGGAGCTACAGCAGGTCAACCAGCAAATCAGCCAACAGACACACCCCCGCCTGGAGGTGAGACTGCCCTTCCTTGCTGCGTGTGTCATGTCTGGTCCAACTAAGTGGCTTTATATATATATATATATATATATATATATATATATATATATATATATATATATATGATATCAAATTTTATTAAAAAAAAGAAGACATATGGATTCAAGGCCTGGAAAGTAATTAAAAACAAACAAGTCCTTATGTGCTTGAATTAAAGGGCACCTATGATGAAAATTTACTTTTGTAAGCTGTTTGGACAGAACGGTCTGTATGTATAGTGTGTCCACTGTCATATTAGAGTGATGTAAATCTAACAAGTCTCTCTCTTTTTTTTTCCCCCCTGACGTTAAAATAGGACCCAAATCCCTATGATTTTTGAGACCCACGTGACATAGAAATTATTTTCTCTGCCCACAGGCGCCTTGTTTCTATAACCAAATGTATACACATGTCCACAAATCATTGGGGGGTTGTGGATTAAAATGAAGAACTGTGGTGTGGTGGGTTAGAGGGAATGAGGTCGTGGACCAAAGTAAAGAGCAAGGTGTCTGGTGGGCCCCTGATAGCATCTCCAGCGGCCAAAAACGGCATGGGCCCTTAGAATTGTCTTAACTTTCCCCCCTTAGCAGCACCCCTGTCTGTCACTGTGCTGTTTATCTGATGTAACGCACATGGGAACGGTGGGCAGGGAGAAGCAGCTCGTTTGGATTTAATGCCACAGGCTGCAAAAACAGCTACAATGTATTCAGACATCAAAATGGAAAGATTCTGGAGGCTATAATAAATAATCTGATGTGTATGTTGACACATTTTAGATACAATAAAGGCTTATCTTACATCTTGTAAAAGTTGTAAAATAAGTGCCTTTTAAATTACATTTGTTTATGCTGTCCATAACTGAATGAAAATGAGAAATTCTTAATTTAAAAATACAAAATTTAAATCTTGTTTAAGAACTGAAAATAATGCAGATTTTATCAATATTTCAGAAACCATTTCTAAATTTTCCCAGTACTGGATTCAGTTTTTATTCAAGTTCTTTTAAAACAGTCAATTTTTTGGAAAATTACATGTTCAAAGCAACATCAATTTTCAGACACTTTAATGTCAAGAATAAGTGTAAGTGAAATGTTATGTATAGTAAAGACTTTCATGGCGCTACATATGCTGCGGGTGTTAATTACAAGTGCTTGATTTGAAATTAATGGTGCTTTAGAAGAACATTGAAAGTACCTATATATGTATGTTTATATTTGTGTATTATTATTTATATTATTTTATCATTTGTTTTTTTGATTGATTTAGCATTACTCACTCTCTTTGACAGAACTCCAGCTCAGTGATGTCCCAAGCATCTCGGGTGGACTGGAGCTCTGGGAATTTGTCCAGCGAACAGCTGAGTTTCGAGCTGCACCAGGTGGAGAAAGAGATCAACAAGAGGTCACAGGAGATGGTTAGTGAGACACAGAATTTTTAGACCTCCTATTAATTATTCATAATTAATATATTATATTACCTGTGAATAATCCATGAGCCCATGGCCCTATTCCATTCCTATTCTATTTCCAGTACATTTTTTGGCAAGGTCATCGATTCAAAAAGCAGTTTAATTTGGTATAATTTTAGGGACTTATCTTATGTTACTTGTTTGCTTAAAATAAGTATAATAAATGTTAAAATGATGGCAATTTGCATCATTGCGCTTAAGTTTTTTTTTTTTTTTCACCTTCAGGAGAACCATGATGGCAAATACAAGCGCATCTCAGTTGAAAATGGACCAGATGAACATCTTCTGCAGAGAGATGAGCATCAACTGAGTCTGAGGTGACACATTTTAACAATAAATCCAAATTTTTTATATAATCTTTAAAGGAACACTTAACTTTTTTTGGAAATGGGCTCATTTTATAATTCTCTTAGAGCTAAACAGTTGAGTTTTACCATTTTTGAATGATTTAAATAAACCATTGAGTCAGATTAGACTTAGAATCTCACACACAAAAAATAAAGGTTGATAATTTTTCTATTTTAAGCTTTATTCTTCTGTAGTTTTTTTAATTGTTAGTGGGGTAAACGTTTGGGAGTTGGACTTGTGATCCAAAGGTTTCTGGTTTGAGTCCCTGTACCAGCAGGGATTGTTGGTGGGAATATCCAACTTAATACCACGGCTGAGGTGATTCCTTTGAGCAAGGCACCGAACCCCTAAAACTCCCTTGGTGTGTGTGTTCACGGGTGTAAGTCACTTTGGATAAAAGCTTCTGCTAAATTCGTAAATGTCATATGACTCGGAACTAAACTCTCATTCTTGTGTAATAATCAAGAAACTGTGCTGCAGTTGGCACTATGCTATTACACAGTGTTGTTAACTAGTTGGAGACTTTATTTAGGTGCTGCCTAATATAATTTACCATCAGTCTTGGTACACAGTTTAACTACAAACTAGTCTAGCTTCAAATAGAAAAGTAATCAAAACTTTTTTTTTTAACATGATACTAATGATCTAATCAGATTCAAACAGTACTTGCGCTTGCACTTTTCAACCGAGGTGAATTGAATGAGCTTATTTGCAAAAGAAGTGGTGTGTTCCTTCAAAAAGGATAAAAAGCATGTTGCACATTCTCATGATTAATTTTTATATACACACAGTGCATCTAGAAAGTATTCATAGCGCTTCACTTTTTCCATATTTTTTTGTTACAGCCTTATTCCAAAATAGATTAAATTCATTTATTTCCTCAAAATCCTACACACAATACCCCATAACGACAGTGAAAAAAAAAATTTAATTGTTGCAAATTTATTAAAAATAAAAAACCTGAAAAACCACATGTACATAAGTATACACAGCCTTTGCTCAATACTTTGTTTTGATGCACCTTTGGGAGCAATTACAGCCTCAAGTCTTCTTGAATATGATGCCACAAGCTTGGCACACCTGTCTTTGGGAATTTTTGCCCATTCCTCTTTGCAGTACCTCTCAAGCTCTATCGGGTTGGATGGGAAGCGATGGTGTACAGCCATTTTCAGATTTCTTCAAAGATGTTCAATAGGATTTAGATCTGGGCTCTGGCTGATCCACTCAAGGACATTCACTGAGTTGTTGTGGAGCCACTCTATTGATATTTTGGCAGTGTGCTTTGGGTCATTGTCCTACTGGAAGATGAACTGTCGGCCCAGTCTGAGGTCAAGAGCACTCTAAAGCAGGTTTCATTCAGGATGTCTCTGTACATTGCTGCATTCATCTTTCCCTCTATCCTGACTAGTCTTCCAGTTCCTGCTGCTGAAAAACACCCCCACAGCATGATGCTGCCACCACCTTGCTTCACTGTAGGGATGGTATTAGCCTGGTGATGAGCAGTGCCTGGTTTCTCCAAATGTAATGCCTGACTTTCACTCCAAAGAGTTCGATTTTAGCCTTATCAGACCAGAGAATTTTGTTTCTTATGGTCGGAGAGTTTTTCAGATGCCTTTTGGCAAATTCCAATACTAAGTAGTGGCTTCCGTCTGGCCACTCTACCATACAGACCTGATTGGTGGATTGCTGCACAGATGGTTGTCCTTCTGTAAGGTTCTCCTCTCTCCACAGAAGAACGCTGGAGCTCAGACAGAGTGACCATAAGGTTCTTGATCACCTCGCTGACTAAGGCTCTTCTCCCTTGATCACTCAGCTTAGGTGGCCAGCCAGCTCTAGGAAGAGTCCTGGTGGTTCAAAGCAGCAAAAATTGTTCTGTAACCTTCCCCAGCCTTGTGGCTCAAGACAATTCTGTCACAGAGGTCTACAGACAATTCTATTGTCTTTATGCTTGGTTTGTGCTTTGTCATGCACTATTAACCCTGGGAACTTTTATAGACAAGTGAATGCCTTTTCAAATCATGTCCAATCAACTGAATTTACCACAGGTGAACTCCAATTAAGCTGTTGAAACAACTCAAGAATGATCTGGAAACAGAATGTACCTGAGCTCAATTTAGAGCTTCACAGCAAAGGCTGTGAATACTGATGCACATGTGATTTTTTTTTCAGGTTTTTGCAACAATTACAAAAAAATCATAATGAGGTATTGTGTGTAGAATTTTGAGCAAAGAAATGAATCTGTTTTGGAGTAAGGCTGTAACGTAAAAAAAATGTGGAAAAAGTGAAGCGCTATAATTACTTTTCTAGGTGCACTGTGTGTATATATAAAGTTTTGTTATATTAGGTGAAATATTAACTGAAAGTGTTTTGAGAGACTGACTCAATAACAATCTACCTCCACTGCATAGAAAGAAATGTAAATATACATATTTGTGGTGACATTTGGTTATTTGTGCCCAATATTTTCTCTCTGCTTTCGGTTGTAGTGAGGGCTCCAATGGTTCCATGGGTTTGGTCCAGGACTGTGGTCTCGTCAGCAGCAGCATGTCCTCACTGACCAGCAAGACGTCCTCGCTCAGCTTGTCCTCTGAACAGGTGGCCAGCAGCCCCGATCTGCCCAAGAATGGAGTCGTTCACTCTTAGCCGGCTCATATTCTACCTCATATTCCCCTTTCGCAACATCTTTCCCAGGTTAAACCCTCCGGGCGCTCCACCATTGCTGTATAACACACCGTTCATTCACTTAAAGTTAGCTTCATCCGCTGACCCTCAAACACCCTTCAGGCAATTATGGATGGGATTTACTGTGCATAGACATGCACAGTCATGCCCTGATTGAGTTTCACAGCAGTATCTGCTGTTGAGTATCTTCTTCCTGTTTTGTATTCACCGCTTTCCTTTTTTCATTGCCTTGTAAATCAGGCTAAATCTGAAATATCCTCAGTCTTAAGCAGCATGATCTCTTTAAGGATCAGCAATCCACTTGCGTTTTTTTTATCATGGTATGCTACATTTTCAGTAGTTACGCTCTTTGTTTGTGCTTGGTGTGGCGTTTACACTTCTGTCAGAGTTTACAGTGTTCAGATTCAGATCTTTCTTTTATGTTAGCTGCAGGCTTGCTGCATATTCAAGCATTTTGATACATCGTGAGGGTCAAAACTATTTTATTAAATTTTTTTCATAATTTAGGCTCCAATTTTTTTTATAGTCACTGTATTAACCTCAGTTGCTCTCATGCCAAGAAAGCCAAGTCTTCATAGGGCTCTTGTATTGTTTTTAGTGCATTAAACTGCACCGCCTGTGGGAATTCGATTGAACCGCCTGTAATCATCATCATCTTCTTCTGCTGCCGTAATGTCCTCAGGGATGCATTATTTTGTGGACGTGAATAGAAATAACAATCCAGGTCACTCTGCTTCTTAGTTTGTAGTGGGTATAGTTACATTCTTCCATCCTGAGGATGGAAAGAAGCCCACTATGTTGATGCATAAAGCTGCATTCTGTTGTAAGAATGTGTATGAACTGCTCTTCACTTTGTCAGTGAAGTTACGACCCACATTTTTCATATCTGCTCTGTGTTTTGCCTCAAAAGATGTGGTTCAGAGCTAAATGAAAGACTTTGATCTAGTCGTAATCGCCTCAAGACTTTCCTTCATTCTGTTTCATCTTTGAACATTGTTTTGATGGGCCGCTTCAATCGAATTTCCCTAAAGGCCAGGCTTTCAAACATGAACATGGCGGCCTTTTTAGGCTTACTTTAAACACTGGAGCTTCTTTACTTGGTGTTAGCGTCAGTTGTCTTACTGGAGACTTAAAACATTTGGATTTTTAAGCAAGCCAAACAACCAAACTAAATTATTTAGCATTATTGTTTTTTTTTTTTTTGACCCAACCAAAAATTTAGCTTGTAGTTACATCAGCCGCAGTGAGCTCTGGAGATCCACCAAAAGTCAATTCTCTTATGGTTTTTTTCTAGCCGTTTGGTGCATGAAAACATCAAGAGAAGCAGCCAAAAAATTATCATTTTGTCGTTGGGTAGAAATGTTTGTGGAGCCTGTAAAACTTTCCACATTTTCTGCGCAGATTTTCTTGGAAAATGGGAAAGCAAATTATAAAGCATATTATACACTAGCACAAAATTGAAGTCACATTACTTTCAATTAAAGTAAACAACAGATTTTTCTTCCGTCAATAAAGCAGCAGATTGATCGAAACGCTTGCACTGTAATCTCAAACCTGCATTCTTCCATGTAGATCTCCTTTCTCGGTGGTGAAATCTCATCATTTAGGAAACACTGTCATGCCTCAGTAACTTAGCTTTATGTTGTAACTTAGTTTATTTGATATGGTTTTGTTTTTGTTTGTTTTGTCTGCTAGCATGTAATGGTCTCTTGAGACATCCTACCGCAACCTTAAAAGCACCTTTTTTGGTGGAAATTCTCTTAAGTTGGAGTTAAATTATATTGTTTTTGTTTAAATTTGTATGGTATTACTGTGGCTTTGGTCTGAGCTTTGGACATTTTAAGCAATCGTCAAGATTGGAAATTGCAATTTTGTTTAGGTAGTAGAACTGTGGTGCACAGTGCGGAGAAATCTTTTCAAATTAATTACGAACTGTACTCAAAGGCATGTGAAAACGCTCTTGTAGGAAATTTGTAGGATCTAGAATATGTCCTAGGTTCACTTGGGTAATGTCATGTTTGTTTTGTTTTAAAGGAACACCTCTGTCTTTATCTCAGGGTTGATTTAAGTGTATTTGGGTGTAAATGTCTGTCGCAATGCGCACGCTTTGTTTTTGTTTTGTTTTTCAGGACTGCAATTGTCGCTCAACCAGTTTCGAGACTTGAAGACTTCAAGACTGTGCCTTTATGTAGATCCGCAGTTATTCACGAGTCTGGGGTGTAGATGTAGCCGAACCATTCTTATTTATAATATTCCACTCTCCTCAGTCTTCTAAGTCAGCATTTATATTAAATGATCTCTTCGTATCTGCAGGCTTTCAGACCGCCAAACTGAGTACTGCCTATCCTTTCTGAGATAAAGGAATTTATTGCCAGGTCATTCGTTTTTGTAGCCATTTTGTGTATCTTTGTGAGTTTGAGTATTTAAGCATGTTTCATGGTGTGATGGTGGTTGTTTGATGTTAGGCTTCTTTGAAGAGTCTGAATTGGAAAAGGAAAACAAGGACAGCCTGTGTGTTATGTCATAGTTTGATATCAATATTCAGAGAGGGAGTATTAAGTTTCATTTTTAGGCATTGGAGGTCTAATGATGCAGATAAGCAAATCAACTTGTTTTGATTTCTGTTTTCATTGATTCCATTAATACAATTCGCGACAGTTCTTTTGTACCCAAGTAAGACTGAATTTATTTTATTTTTTTCAATGTTTCCTTGAATGAAACGCAGATTGTATGAGCTCTTGCAGAAGGGCTCAATTTATTGTGGTTTTAAAATTATGTATTTTAAGTCAGCTATTTGAAAACCATCTTTTTAAAGCTATTGTTGCAAAGCAACATTTACACGATCACCCCATGACTAATGGGAATCACTACCGATTTGAAAAGGGAACCAAAATGTTTACCTGGATGAATCATGTGAAGCCTTCACCTCATAACAAATGTTTATGCGTCCCATGAAATGAAGCATGTTTTTGTGACCTTTATTTTTATTTTTTGGTTTTTAAATATAATTAGTAATTTAGTTAGTAATTTTGTTTGCAATAGAAATATAAAAATACAAACAAATGGAAAGTACTGATACGTCATATGTATAGTACATCCTTTATACAAAATTTATTATAAGAAATTGTTTTTATTACAGTAATAAGGATGCAATAATTTTTCACATTATAGTAATGACCTGTTGGGCAATAAACTTGCAAAATTTTTCCCAAGAATGTGCTTAATTGGAATATAGAAAATTATGTTTTTGTTACTGTAGTACAGTAATGTGAATACAATAATATTCCACATTATGGTAATGACATTTTTAGGAATAAACTGGCTCAATTTTCACAAAATGTGCTTTGTTTTGATACTGTATTATGGTAATGAGAATGCAGTATTTTTCAGAATTGTGGTAATGACATTTTAGGTAGTAAACGTAAAAAGTTCTTAAAAATATACTTAATTTCAATATGAAAAAATGCATTTTTGTAAGTTACAGTAATGAGTATGCAGTATGGTTACGCATCATGAAAATTACATTTTAAGAAGGAAATTGCACAATTGTCATTTTTTTTTTCTTCCTAAAAGTACTGATAGATCACATTTATACTACAGCTTTTATAATAAACTATGAAAAGTAATGCTGCTGCTGTTTTACTGTAATGAGTATTACTGTATTACGGTAATGAGAATGCAATGTTTTTCAGCATTGTGGTAATCACATTTTAGGCAGTACACTTAAAGTTCTTAATAATATACTTTAATATAAAAAGTAGCATTTTAAAAATTGTATTATTTTAATGAGTGTGCAGTATTTTTGCGTGTCTTGAAAATGACATTTTAGGAAGTAAATTGGACAATTGTTGAAAGTATGCTTCATTTTAAAAAGCACTGAATCATATTTATTGTACTACCTTTATAATAAAAATGCTGCTGCTGTTTTTACTGTAATGAGTTTTACTGTATTATGGTAATGAGTATGCAGTATTTTTTCAGCATTGTGGTAATGACATTTTAGGTAGTAAACCTAATGAAGTTCTTAAAAATATACTTAATTTAAATTTGAAAAGAAGCATTTCTGTTATTGTGTTATGGTAATGAGTATGCAGTACTTTTTGTTTGTCATGAAAACTACATTTTAGGAAGTTAATTGGACAATCGTCTCAAATTTTTTCTAAAAGTACTGATAGATCATATTTATAGTACTGCCTTCATAATAATACTATGAAAAGAAATGCTGCTGCTGTTTTTACTGCTATAAGTATTACTGTATTACGGTAATGAGAATGCAAAGTTTTTCAGCATTGTGGTAATCACATTTTAGGTAGTAGACTTAAGAAAGTTCTTAAAAATGTACTTAGTTTCAATATGAAAAGTTGCATTTCTATTATTGTATTACGGTAATGAGTGTGCAGTATTTATGCACGTCATGAAAATTACATTTTAGGAAGTAAATTGGACAATTATCTCAATTGTTTTTCTAAAAGTATGCTTCACATCAGATTTATAATACTGCCTCCATACTAATATTATGAAAAAATGCTGCTGCTGTTTTTTTTTTAACTGTAGTATTACTGTATTACGGTAATGAAAATAATTTTCTGTATTTTGAATGACACTTTAGTCAGTAAACTGCCTCAATTATCACCAAAAAATCCTCATGTTTTATTTTAGTATTTTATTTTTGTTATTATATTGTGGTAATGAAAATACCGTATTTCCCCCAACGTGGTAACAGATAAAATAGAAAAATAAAGTCCAAAAATGTGCTTCATCTTCAAAACAAAAAGTTTTATCTTGATTTCGAGGCAAACGTTTTTATGCGATTCATCCACCCAGTGCTGACTTATAAAAAATAAATATATATGTTGTATTTATGACCAGTGTCTAATGAAAAGCCTCAAGTGTTTCCTCATTGGAACTCCTTTTCGTATTGTGATTTTTACCTGCATTTTGAAATGCGAATGTAGTGCTAATTAGTGTCAAAAATCGTACAAATGAGAGAATAGGAA